CCTTTACGATCAGCCAGTCCACTGCGAGACTTGTTTGATTTGGAGAGAACCTGGAACCCGAGATCATCCATCAAATATCCGTGAAAGGTTTTGACCACCTTTAAAAATTTTTGCAATTTCTTGCGCTAAAAATGCCGTTTCAACTCTAATTTAGCTTTTTTACTGCAAGTTTCGTTCAAAATAAAGAGGCTGTTGTCATCTACGGAATCGTTTTTGACGTCTTCTTGAGCTCATATATTACAACGCATATGTACAAAAAAAATTTCCGTTCACTCGTGAAACGTAATGTTACGTAAGCACATTGTGGATCATCTTAAAAATTATAAAATTTTATTTAATAAATTATCATTCGACAAGGATAAATATCTTGTCAAAGTTTAGTTACTATAAATGTTATTTAATTGCGACTGCCCATAAAATATATTTTTGGAAACCTGGTGAAAGTTAAAAAGCAAAAAAGTGTATACATTAAATTCGCATATTAATATTTAACGCAGGGGGGGGGGAGTTATCGAAATCTGACCAATCATTGTTGAGGAAAGCAGGTGTAAAAAGACTTCCTAGATTGCCAGGGAAATAGGGTGGAGTAACAAGATGATTATTAGAAACACCTTTAAGTTTAAACGTGGAAATCAAACAGGTCTTGATATTTTCTAAACATTGGGTTTCTCGACAAGGATTCAGATTTCAGTAACATTATCGTTTTTTCCATGCTAAAATATCAATTTCCACCTCCTAATGTATACACTTTTTGACTTCAGTTTTAACTAGGATTCAAAAATGAATATTTTAGGACGACATGTCTGTCTGTCGGTTGGGGAATTGAGTGAAAACAATAACAAGATTCTAGGGCCAAAACTGAATTTTTTTAAATTTCCATTATCATGGAAACGTCATTTGTCTGAAAATTTCTTATTCTTTATGGGGCGGGTTTATGAAATTATGTGTAAAGATTATCGACATTACAAGAAGTTTTATCATTGAGATACGAGGATTGTTTTTTTAAATAAGGGCCGTTTTGCTGTGTCCCGTCATCACTTGGGAACAACTGTTCTCAGTTGCAGCTGTCAGTTCTGCGTCTTTAAAATGTTCATATTTAACAAATCGGCCGCCATGCACGAGAAACGGTCAGTGATGCGTTTTCAGTCTACAAAAAACCTGTCTGTCGCATACTTTCACTAGCAGAATCGTGAAGTTAAGATTTGCGAAAAAGCAAAATTGCCTGTCATGCTGACAGGCAATTTTGCTACTCTATGACAATGACTCCCGCCGCAGCTCAGATCCCAGCTTTATTGAACTCTTTTGGTTGGGAAGTTTTGGACCACCCTTCCCTACAGCCCAGATCTTGCGCTGAGTGATTTTCATCTCTTCCGATATTTCAAACATAATTTTGGTAGCAATCACTACAACGATGATGAAAAAGTGAAAACGGCCCTGACCCCTTGGTTAACGGAGCAGGCGGCAAGTTACTATGAAGAGGGTATTCAAAATCTGGTTGTAAGGTATGACAAGTGTTTAAACAAACTTGGCAACGATGCTGAAAAAAAAACAGAAACATATGTAGAATCTGAAAATAAGTTTCTTTCATGAAAATTTCCTTTCGTTTGGTTTTTATTTTCAAACAGCCCTTATCATAAAAACTAACCTTGCATTTAAATTTTTATGTTATTTTACCATTCATAGGATTTTTCTGAATTTTATAAATTAAAAGAGTCGTGAATTTAGCCATAAATGAATTTAAGGAAATTAACATCACGACATAAAGTGTAAAGGTTTCCATGCTTTGAGTGTTTCGGCTAAATGGAAATAGATTTACAAATAAAACACCTCAAGTCATATTGTAAACAGCATAAGTTTAATAAAACAATATAGGATAGAGTGCCTTTAAGCATTGTTATAAACATAAATCAGAAATCTTAATATATATTATAACTATCTGTGCTCAACTTTATATGGTTCTCCATACATAAAATTTTATTGAAATATTTTATGATAGGAAAAAGAAACAAGACAGCAGTCAACAGAAAGCTACAGGATAGTCTTAAATAGCCTGAGTTGCTGTCAAATAATTGAATTTATAACTAATTTCCACGATTAAATACCGTTTTTAAAAAAGTTGCTGCAAATTCAATAAAAAAAATATACATATTTTGTTTTCAAAACACATTTATTAATGGCCACCAAATATGTTTGTATTTATTTCCAAAAATACATTATGCAAGCAGTCTTTCATTATTATTTTTTTTTCCTTGAACACTTTTACACAGAAAAAACAAGATAAACATAAAGTAGAAAAGCTCACATATACAGTAAAAGTCTCTCACTTCAAAAATCGAAGACAAAAAAAGTTTAACAAAATTTAAACAACATTCTGATTCAAGCCAGAGTTCTTAATATCTAATGAAGTTAGATATTAGAATTAGGGTTTCATTAGGTTCCTCTATCTAATTAAAGTTAGATAGAAGAACTCTAATTTCAACTATATGAGATTGCAGAATTCTAGATACTAACGAACTATTTTTGTCTTGTGATATGCATATGAACATGAAGAATATTTTTAAATAAAAAAATTAACAGCATATATTTATTAAACATAATATTGATGATGAATAAATAAGTCAATTAAATCATAATAAAATGCACACGTCAAAAAATATATAAGTTAGAAACTTAGAAATACTCCAAATAATCTGTAATAAAACATTTATTTTATAGTAAAAAGGAAGGAATAAGTTTAAGACTATATATCACAAAAACTAACAAAAACAAAATTATGCACATTGCTGCGTTATCTTTTAGAAATATTTCCTTTCAATACAGTAGTCTTAAAAACTTTCTGAATGAAAACTATCAACCTAAGAAAAGTAAATTATGATAAATACTTGTAAATATGTACAATTGGGGGAATAAAAATGTGTACAGTGTATAATATTTCATCTAATAATAGGAATTTAGGACTCCACCTAATTGTTCACTAATTAAACCTTAAATAAGCAAATTAATTTGTGCAAAAGTATTTTAAGCTACAGAAACATTTAATAATGGTCAAAAAAATTTGAATTTTAAAGGTAAATTTTTTATACATCATTTTGAAATATGATTATTTAAATGACAGTTTATTATTCAGAAGCTATTCAACTAATTTTGCTCAAATTTTATATTTTGCGGCTTAAAATTACGTAGCTAAAATTGGTGTATAAATTTGCACACTTAAAAATAACCATTATAAAAAAAATTACAAATATAATCTTTTTTAGAATATATTTTATAACTACGGCAAAATAAATTTGGATTCATTTCTCCGAGATATAACAAAATAAACAAAAGTGAAATTAACATAAAGCGGTCAAAACTTCCAACCACTCTCCTTACTTAACTATTGAGATCATACTTTCCAGCTTTCTCTTCATATTTTGATAGTCGAGAATCCAAATGACTTAAAAAGGGCGTGTTTATTGTAAGAAACTTTTACCTGATTTTGTAACTTAAAAGATTGTTTGTAAAAATAAATTAGGATATTTAAAGTTAGGCCTTATAATCATTAAAATTTAAGCCTAGTACGTGATAATCAAATCATTAGATTGAATGTCATTCTGTGTGGTCTTTTCCATTATTTTTTTTTTTTGGCGCAACAGAAGACTTTTACAAAAGTTGCAACAGTAATCAGAAGAGGTTAACAACTTTATTTAAAGAACTATATAAAGATTTGTTTCATTCCAAAATTAACCCTTAAATTTTGAATAACATGCACATTAATTTAAAATGAAGCTAATAAGGATCAGGAAATTAAAAATTTTCAAGATTCTCTGATGGAAAAAACAAACAAACTCAAACTTTTAACTTCATCCTCTAACTTTAGTTAAGTCAGTACAGCGTTTGCAAACTTAAAAATATCACCACTTTTTAAATTTAACAGCAAAAAAAAGTTTTCCATGATGGCACGGAGAGAAATTGTACCATAAAATCTGATACATTTTGTCATTTTCTAATAAGTATGTAACAAAGGAGTTTTTCCTAACTTAATCTTAATTGTAATATATAAAGAAACAAGGTTACAATATTATTTTAATGAAAATGTGTTCAATAAACAATAAAAAATTCCAATTCTTTTGTTTAGTCTAATTTTTAATCTCACTCCACCTATGAAATCTTTGAACTATTTTTTTCTTACAGTGTTCATATGACTAAATATTTCTATTAACATTAGAACACTAATCTGCACATTAAAATGTTTTTTATTTAAAATCTGGAAGCCAGAATAAAAATCTAGGATTGCAGTTCGCATAACAAGAAAATTAAATAGTAATCATTAATTATAGTACCATTTCCAAAATCTCATACCTTTTTTTCTAGTAAAATAGTTATTAGTTTTTAAATTACAGTAGGGAACCGATTATCCGGAACGATCAGGACCATCGTTATTCCGGATAACTGATTTTTCCCGTTTTTTTATTGTTAAACCCAACTAAAAAAAAAAAAAATTTGGAAATAATCTTAAAAAGAAGAAAAAATGATGAAGTAATACACTAATGATTATTCCCAAAATAATGATAAGGTAAACATCTTTCAAAAAAGAAAGAAAAATCCTAAAATCTTATGAGGAAATAAAAAAATATTTTAAAAAATAGGGGGGAAATTTATCGAATTTCGTTCCGGTTTTTCGGTATTCTGAATTCCGAATAACGGGTTCTGTACTGTATTTAAATCCAATTTTTTTTTTATTTTCTACACATTAAAAAATTAGTTAATATGCAATGTACTTGCCTTTTTTTTATAAAATTTATTTTAATGAAACAAACAGGATTTGTGAGATAGAAGATTCAAGCAAAATATTGGAAGAAAGCAGTTTGCCATCCTCATAAACAAAAATAAAATATATATTTTGAAATATTGCCAATATTAACAACGCTATGTAAAATGAATATCATAAATTCATTTTTAATTTTCATTTTAACGGATTTTTAAGCCAAAGGTATGTAAATACACTATTTTAATAAATGTTTTTTTATTAACACTGTGACACATATTTTACTAATTTTATTTTTCTGACACTTTAAAGGGGTCTGAATAAGTAATTGAATTGGGGTAAACATTTTTGTTGAGAAACCTTCAAACTACATTAGTTTTTTAGCTTGAAATAGTTGTTGTCAAATTCGACTTTTGATTACAATTAAACTTGAGATTTATCATATGTTTTTATATTGGATTAAAGTTACAAGTTATGTAAACAATATTTTTTTAAAAATGTATTAAAAAACTAGTGAAACAAAATGATTTGCCAATGGATATAAATGCACCATTTTATTTCTCAAATAAAGTATTTTGCATGAAACTTTTTGTGTGTCTTGATGAATGTAATTAAAGCATATTTTTATGAAAAGAATACCACATTTTATAAAATTTCTATGCTTAAAATATGTTAAAAATTACCTTAAATTCTTCAAGAAAATTTTCATACATTAATTTAAGAGAGATAAATATTTTTGTACTTTCATTATAACACTTACAGAAAAAAAATACCCTACTTAGAAAAAATGCTACTTTTAATCATTTTTAGGAATGAATAAACGAATATCTAAAAAGAAAATTTTTTGTTCCATCATAATTTAAAAAGGACAAAAAACTACTGTAATTTGAAAAGTAAGATAATAGGTTAGATAACCTCAGAAATGAAAATAGTTAAACAAAAAACATTTTATAGAACTATTTATAATAAAAAACTTAAAAAATTAGGAATAAACAGACCAAATATTTTACATTCACACATTTTTGTATAAAAATTTATCCTCAATGCACAATTTTCTCATTAAATGACAAGAGGATGAAAGGTGGGGGAACAGATTTCTTTGCAGAAAAAAAAAGATAGAGAATGTCTTTAGGCATCATAAATGCTCAGTAAAACAATAAAACCCGGTTTAGTGAGACATAAAAGTATTTGTGATCCAACATTAAACTGAACTGAACTGAGTAGTATAACAGTGCATGCACCAAGAATGCTCAAATTAAAAAATTCAAATTTTTATATGCAATATTTTCACCTTTTGAAGAGAGTATGCAATGCTATTTTATTAAGATATTGAAAGTAAACAAAATAGATAAAAAAAAATCTGTAAACTATTTATTTGTAATACCAGTCAATAAAACAATTTTCATGTAAATTTTGCCAAATTATAAAAAAAGTAATACAGGCTCAAAGATGTAACATTCATAACATACAGGTACAGTTATGACTATTCATGACAAAAGTTCAACTCTCTGAACAGTACCTAGTCAGACACCCTAAAAATGTTGCCATATGGACCACAGATATGAACCAAAACTCTTATTATTTGAAGAAATAAATATGTTTAACGTCTGAAAGGCTCTTTTATAACATCCAAGATCCTGCTGGACAACAATGATCGGGGAAACACTTTATAAATACCGTACAATCCTAATCCATACAGAGAGTAACGTATTGTATAGCGAATGAACTTGGATGACCTTGAGGGTTCAGGAATGCTGAAATATAAAATATAGATATAAGAAGACGAAATATTTTAACAACACTTTGCAAATTTTTAACAAAATATTCCTCCTTCATAAAGTATTTATTAAAAAGGTTAAAGTTAATTAGGATTATAAATATAAATTTTCAATTATATATCAGTTCAATTATATATCAGTATATTTTCAGTTATAAATTTTCAACTTGTCGCCTTGAGTCTCCTGCACAGCCGGAGGTGGACAGATATGAGGTGAAATTAAACATCTAAAGATTGATGTTTACAATAAAATATATGTAAAAAAAATTTAAATTTAAGTTTATAAATTGTTCAACGGACCCTTATAAATATTTGAAATTTAATAAAATTAACGATATCTACCATGTGAGACCCAGAATTTACCATGTGAGAGCTGTCAAAGTATAATGGAATTTGTACAAGCTTCATGAAAAATATTTTTGGTCAAACCTCATGACCGAAAACTGGTGGTTTAAAAATTTAAAGTTTAAAATACAGGAAAAATTATAAAAAGATTATAAGGGACAATTGATAAAAGGAAAAAAACATGAAGTTAAAGGCTAAAATTATACAATTGACCAAAAGGGTCTAAAAATTCAACATAAAAATTTGTAAAAGATCGAACGCACTCTCAAAGTTGATATAATAAGACATAAAAAAATTTTAAAACATTAAAATGAATATAGCACTTAAAGTAAAAACATCGAGATCACTAAAATGATTAAGAGAAGTACAGTTAAAATAACACAAAAGACTGACATAAAATAGTCAACATGTAAAAAACAGATTAACATTAATAAGAAAAAGTTGTTAAAATTCATTGACTAAAAGACACGAGGTCAATAAAACAATAGTACAATGAAGGAACGTTAAAAATTTGTACTAAAAAAACATTAAAGCTTAAAATAGGCAAGATAATATCAAAACAATTAAAAATGCAGAGTAAAAAGGGGGTCTAAAATTGTATAAATACATTTTAAAAACTTGGTTCGTGGTCCATAATATAAAAATTTCAAGCTGATCTGGAAATGGAGATATTAATTAGTTGTTAAAAACTTGTGCCAGCAGATCCTCTAGAGCGGTTTTGATTATTTCTCTACATCTATTGTTTGCAAAAATTTGTTGGTCATTTTTATCATTGAATAAGTTTTTTCGGAGTGCTTGGAAATGATTGCAGAAATATGCTAGATGTTCAAGTGTTTGTTTTGCGCTACAGTATTTACATTTATTGTCCTTGTTAAAAAATTCCTTTTTTTTTTTAAAACAAAGACGATAAATGTAAATACTGTAACGAAAAACAAACACTTGAACATCTAGCATATTTCTGCAATCATTTCCAAGCACTCCGACAAAACTTATTAAAAAGGTTAAGTAAAATATTTACATATTTATGTTGTTTACCTTTGTTTATTACCAACATATATTACTTTAGTATTTTAAAAAGTTGAAAACATAAGCAATGCTGATAATATCAGTTATAATTTATATTAATGTATGCAAAATAGTGCCAACTGATCAAATAACAATTCAAAAAACTTACCACAAAACAGGAGGTATATCTTCATTTGTAATTTTGCCCCAATGCTCTTGAATACCAGGAACATGGCCTATACCAACCACACCAACAACATAACTTGGACCAGGAACTGCAAAACAAAAGGTAATGAATAATAACCATGTTGGCACAATCAGCAAAACAAAATCATTATACTAAGTAAATTCAAAAATTAAAATTAATTAATTCTGAATTAAATAATTAAAAGTCAACTTTTGAAATTATTATGTAGGAAATGAAATACAGTGAAACCTCCGTTAAGCGGACTGGGACTAAAAAATTTGTCCGTTTATGAGAGTTGTCCGTTTACGGGAAGGGTACCCTAATAACGAAATTTAACACCGTAAATTGTTTTTAGAATATTCTCAAAGATGTAGAAATAATTAAATACTATCTACAAGGATACTNTATTTAAAAATGTAAAGATTATTCTCTGAATAAAGCAAAATAGAGAATTATATATGTTTCAAAGATTGACATGAGATGGACTATTAGAAAAAAATGTGTTATCTTTATTAGTTTTTTGTTTGTTTTTAGATACAATTTCAAAAATATTCTTCTCAATACTTACTATTGCTTGAAAATTTACTTTTTGTTTTAACATTCGCAAATAAATATTGCTTTAGAGTTCTATGATCTGCAACTGTTAATCAGTTGGAGGTATATCCGACATTTTTTTACACCTCTTTATAGTTTTCATTACTAACATTGGGAGCAGGCATTAAGTCAGATACTGAAAGAATTAAAAAGTAATGGGATGTGTGTTGCAGTCACTATTCACATCATAGACTTCAGAATATCTTCAACCACAAAATTTTATTCCGAAGGGCTAATGTTCCAGATTGAATACAGAGATGCCTGCTTTATGAAATCTATTCATAATCCATTTTAGTTGACACTGTTCAACATTGTTGAAATCAAATTCCAAGCTTTTAGAACATTTCTTTTTGCTTTAGAAGCATCTTACACATTATTAAAAACACAAAAAAAGGAATCATTACCTAACCAATAGCTTAGTGTAATGTTCTTTAAATAATTGGATTACTCCAACGTTCAAAAGTTTTCCATGAAAAATTCCACTCACAAAATTTACAATTTAAGCTCTTTCACATACTTTCTTTAACCAATCTTTCTGTACTCTTCGTCTATGCCACCAACCTTTTGAATTTGAGTCAAAAACCTTTCGCTGACATAAGGACAAGTTAAGAATAGAAAAAATGCCAGAACAGATTCAAAAAAGATAATAAACAGATCCTTCTTAGGAAAAAAAATGAATAAATTCGAAAAAAGTTTGTGCGATTTTTGCATTTTGATCAATTAAAAAAGTATATTAAGTGGAATTTTCTTCAAAATAGTAACGTAAAAAACGGGATAATTTAATATTATCGGAATATGTTATTTTTATAGTCCATCAAACAATGACATAGGAAGCAGAATAATGTACGAAGAGTACAGCATAAAACCTGTATAAACTGGAGAGTAGAACTGAACAATTGAAAAAGAGGTACAAAGTCCTACTTTGAATAAAATTCAGATTTTACAATTAAAATATTAAGACTCTGAAATTCATAATATTTCTTTAAAAAAAAAAAAAGAATCAAGAGTTTAACTAATATAGCCCAATCTCAGATGAAAAAAATAAGTGAGTTTTTCAGAAAAATAAATATTTAACTATTTTACAATAACTAAAAAAAAAATCTTAAGTGCTGCAAAAAAAGAAAAGAAAGAAGAACTGAACATTTTTGCAGAATTCAAAAATAACTAATCATTATACAACTTATATATTTAAAAGTGTTTATTTCAGAAATCCATTCATTCAGATAACTTTTATATATATATTGCTTAATAATTATCTCATGAAAATTAATTTTTTTTTATATAGTAATACAATTTTAAAAAAATAATATGCTTTAAAATATTTTTATTTGTATAAAGCTAATAATTATCAAAAGATATTTTTATCAGATACTGTACTATTAATTAATTATACATAAGCAAATCAAAAACCTGAAATACAAAAATCTAATAATCCTTCTCTGTAAATTAATTTGTTAACTATCAAATTCCAGTAAAACACAATGAGCAGACTTTTGTTGATTTCTTTCTCTATAACTTCACACAAAGGCAATAATAAAAAATAATTTGAACAACAACAAAATTAATGGTTATTATGTAATCTTTAATTAATATAGATACTTTACAATTAATAATTTAAAATATTTTTCATGCCATGTGTACCAAATTATAAATAAAAGCAAAAAATTCCTAATATTTTAAAATTCTGGAAAAAATTTCGTACTTCAATTAAAATTTTGTTTTATTTGTGAGTTAAATTAAATGCATTACATTAGTTTACTATCTGATAAACAAAGAAAAGGAGAAACATTTAAATTAAGGGAAAGAAAATATACTTGGTAAGTCATTATATGGTAGTTTTACATAAATAACAAATCAAAAGTCGAAATAGGTATTTTTTTAACTTTATATTACTATGTTTTTAATAACAAAACTTTGTATTTTATGAATGTGACCAAATTTCTCATCAAAGGAGAGAAAAAATGTCTCTTCCACCTACGCACAAAACATAAAATTTTAAAATATTATTGCAGAAAAAGCTGTAAATAAATAAAGCGCAGGAGATATATAATGGATCGGCAACTAACCGGTTTTCCTATTTTGTTTAAATTTTAACAATTATGCCAAAAACATTTAATGTCATTAAATGTTCTTTGACATAATTAATTTTAAGAAAAGTTTTTTATTCTTCAGGAATTTTTATTTATTTACTTTGTTAAATTTTAGATAATTCAAATCGAAAGTCAAATTGAGATAAAACATTTATGATGATCCTTTTTTTTTTCTTTTTGCTTTTAACCAAGATTTTCATCAAAAATCATAGCTGAAAGAATTTCTTGAAATTGGTATGCCAAGTTTAAAAATGGAAATCCTGATCGCAAAAACTTACTTCGTTCAATGCAGAGTGATTAAACCAATTTTTCCACAAAAACTAAGTGTTTTTTAAACTTTAAAAAAAAGAAGAGAAAAAAAACGGTGGGGACTTAGTTGCCAACCCAAGAGAAAGAATCATAAAATTAAAACAAAACCCTTGGATCATGGAAAATAAAAGTAAAAGTAGATAAAAGTAAAATAAAAGTAGAAAGTAGAAATAGTAAAGTAGAAACTAACTATCACTATTTTGAGCAGCAGCAACTATGGGAGAGGCAGCCATCTGCAATGAGTATGTCAAATAGATATCTCTCTCTTTCACAAATACTTGACTAAGTTCAGGAAATTCTCCTGTCATTTCTGCCAACATCTCTTCTAAAAGATCTCTCTGCTTGCAACGCTCAACTTCCTCTTTACTGTAAAACAAATAACGTTGAAAATCATTTAAATAAAAAAGAACATGTAGTGATAGATGAAATGTAAAGTTTAATATCACAATAAATAGCCATCAGGGATAAGAGTAGTCAGAAAGTAAAAAAGAGGAAATCCAAGACTGAATATATATATATATATATATTGTTCGATATTTTATTACTCGATAGTTTCCTAATCTTTCATACATTTAATTTTTATCAAATTACGTATTAATTATTATTATTTTACAAATTAATTATCATTATTATCTTGTTGGAGGACTCCACCCCCTGCTTCCTATCGATTGACAACCCCAATAATTGCTACTCAATAGGGATGCCACTGGTGACTAGGAATATAAAAAGTGGTGATTAAAAAAAACAAAAACCTATTAATAAAGATAAAACTTTTGAAACTGCAACTTTTCTTAGCATATTTTTTTTTAGTTTACAGTTGAAACTAATAAGTACTGTGCTGTATTAAATATCTGGGCACCTGAGGCCATTTACGGCCACTTTCCCGTTCGTCTTTAACTTGAACTTTGTGGTGTTTCGATGAGGTGNGATATTTAAATCGCCTGAATAAGACTCGCAACGTTCAACTTTTAAATCAGGCAAATACGAAAATCGATGTTTGATAATAAAATAGCGATTTTAAAAATGCATAAATGCAAAACGCAATATTGGATTTTTAAATCCCGTAACTAAGAATCATAATGTGCGTTGTTTGAATAGCGTAAATAAGAATCGCATAGCGCAACTTTTAAATCAGGTAAATACGAAATCGATGATTGATATTAAAATCGCAAGAGACTGGACTTGGGATTTCTAAAAGGCTTGTTTGTATTGTTTTTGTTTAGACATAATAAATAAAAATTTACAAGATTAAGTGAATGAGCAAATAAATATTTTCACCCCAAATCCACCTCTATTATTTCATTTTATTTTTCTTTTTCGTTTGCTTTCACGCCAGACAACAGGGTCATGACGTCTGAATTGCAAAAATACGAGCTATCCGGCGGACGAATAAAAATACGGAAAATCTTATTTTCTGTGAAGAGAAAATAAGTAAAAATACGGAAGGGTTAGCAGCTAGGATGTAGTTTGAATTTTTTGTTTATCTTTGAAAATCGTAAATAAATATGATTATTTTCTTTTAACGATTGAATTAAAAAAAAAAAAAAAGCCGGATATTTATTTAAAAAAAAAACGAAACTTTTAGAGAATACGAGTTTTTGATAAAAAGGCTGAAATTCGAAAGGCAAAAGCGAAAAAATATCATCTCTGTATAAAGGTCAACCAGTTTTATCCCAAGGAAATGATTTTTTGAGAAACTTCAGAGGGAGGAATGAGGACTTCAATGCTTTCTCTCCGCGGAAAATTAAATTCCTCATAAAATATTTCAACTTGTTCAAAAAAATTTCCGCGGAAATTAGCGGGAAAAATGGAAAAATCTAAAAAAAAAAAAGCGGAAATCCACGAATCCGCGGAAGAATCTCATCCCTGAGCCATGCACTAAACAAACAATAGTACATACTCAAAGAGAGGTAACAAAAAAAAAACTGTTATAAACTAAATTAGAGAGTAACAGAAAAGGAAAGGAAGGATGACAAAGGTGCCTTAAGATTTTTGAAGAACAGTTTATCCAAAGAAAATTATCCAACAGAGAAAAAAGGGTAAACTCCTCAATTCATTGTAGGTAGCCAAGTTGGGGGGTTTTCACAGAGTGAGGCAAATAGATTAATCATACTGTTCACTGTTTATAAAAAATATTTATTTAAAATCGAGACACTTTTCTATTAGGTCTTAAGATGTCACAATAAGGCAAAAAATAAATATAATGCAATATAAACCAGTACAGGTGTGTGAAACCTGACAAGACCAAATAAGGAAAAGGGATCAACAGTCAGAAAAACAAATATAATTCACAAGTAAAAATGTGCAGCCCTTACTTTCTCGCCAAAAATAAACTGAAAATATAATTTACAAAAAACAAGTACTATTTTTTTAAACTTACATTAATAAATTCTGAAGAAAAAAAAATTGCCGTTGCAAATGAAAAATGCCAAAAGATTTAAAATTATCAAATGTCTTTATAAAAAAGTAGAAATTCAAGGATTTATTTAAAAATAAAAGATGCAATTAATTTTTAAAGTAAAAGATAATAAAAGTAAATACCACCAGTTACGATTTTATAAAAGAAAAAATATATGCTAAACTTTTCATTTTCCTTTTTATTTTGTTCATTTTTTTAGCACGTTACTTCCCCTAAACAGCACAAATGGAGGGGGGGAAATGGTATTTTGTGATCTAACATGGTTGTTACAGGATGGAGTTAGGGGTTAAAAAAGGTGGGTTGACAAGACACACATATTTACGAAGATTACTCATTACCTTATAGGATCTTTGGAACGCAGCATATGCCAGCCAATTCTAATTTTTTGCCACATAGATAACTTTGCTAAAGCTCTCTGTAAAGTTATATGGATAGGACGATCACCTAAGTGTACAATACAACCAGGAATCTGTTTGGCCTGCATGAAGGAAAAAAACATAAATAATATACAAAAATAATATTAAGTATGGAAATGAAACATTAAATGGCTAAACAGGTGGGAATTATATGCGATGTGAAAAATAAGACCGAAAAGGAAATTTGTTTCAAATAGAAATAACAAACCAGCAATAGAAACCCTAAAAAAATTGACTGCTTCATTGAACTGCCATGCTTTTTGGCTCACGGGAGTATAGACAATATGGCAGATACACCAAAATTTTGTCACAAGGTGTACCCATATATATTAAAAAACTTTTCTGGTCCTTTGGTATCAAATTATCGATATGAATTCAGAAACAATCATAAACAGAAATGAAAATCTTATTTAATCTAATGATGCCAAAAATGCAGTTTTGTTTTTTAAAAAAATAGAACAAGTTAGAACAATATTTGTAGCTTTAAGAAAAAATGGTATTTCATATGGTATAACTTATCATCTTGGAGGAACATGTTTTTCCCACCATTTTAGTGTCTCATCTTATAACAAAATCTTAAAAAATCTAGTAATTTTGTAAACATTTGTCTTCATAAAAAAAGAGGAAGCAAAAAATAGCACAAAATTTGGCACTTTTTTTTAAGAAAAAAAAAGAACTGGAACATTGTTATAATATTTTTATAAGTATTTAAGTATATATGATCATTTTAAACTAATGTTCTGAAAATTTTTTGCTTGGAAATTTTTATATTATGTTTGCCAAAAACCAGTGTTTCCAAAACTTATGACTTTTGTGTACCCTCAGTAAATTTTTCGTAACGCTGTGTACAACTAATAAAAAAATGAATATATTTTTCACTATAAAAAAATTGCATAAAAGTTAAAAATCACAACTGGCTGTTGATACCACCAATTATTAACGGTTAACTCTGCAAAAAATAGCCAATAGAAAAATACGTAACCGTAAATTTTCATGGCTAGCTTTAATTTCAAATAAAAAATTTTGAAATTTTCGTTTGTTGCACGCACGACATTTTGCATAAGAACATGTACCCCCGCTAAACTGTTCCAGTACCCCTGGTGGTACGAGTACCACACTTTGGCAAACACTGCCATAAACTGATGAATAAATAGAAATATTTAACTTTAGGCAAAAATAAATTATAATTAGTTATATTAGTAGACAATATATTAGTGTTTTAATATATTGTCAGTGTCAGACTTGATAATAACAAACTTTAGATTACATATTTTTATCTTTATTTGTAATAAATATTAATAACCATCTTTAATTGTCTATCTGTTAGTGAAAATCTTCATATTCTAATTAACACAGGCCAATCATTACTTGCTTATATATAACTCTATATACTTGCTTTAATCACTTTATAAAAAAATAAATTATCATATATTATCCAATACTTAATATTAGCTATAATGTAAAAGTAGCTAATCTGCTTATCAGTTAAAGATAATAAACATATCCTCAGGGGTGTATGATTCAACAACAGAAAAACAAAAAAATTATGCACCAACAGAATAAAAACAAAACTTTAAAAAAAATCTGTTTCAATATCAAAAGGAGAAAAAGAAATAATTCTGAGTATAAAATTACGTTGCTGTTCCTTTTTGAGGCATGTTTTTTTTTTTTTTTCAAGCTTTCTTGATTTGAAATTCTTATAATTGTGCATATTAATAGATGGATTAAGGGGTAGAGAATTTATCCTCAACCCAATATAATTGATAGAAAAATTTGTTTGGTTTTAAATATTTTTAAAACATCGTTTGTAAATTTATTTTATTCCATGCAGAACTAAGTTTCAAAAGCTTTGTAAGTTTCCAAAATCCCTGTAAACCACAAACTGACAGTAAATAAACAATAGCCAATGGAAAATATAATCTCATAAATTAAATAAAAATTGTTTTTCAAAAGCCTAGAGATCAAGGAAAAATAAAACTTGCCTCTTCATAAGCTCTTCGAAATTCTCCACCAGGTGCCATGCCCAGCTGCTTTGTCAGATGAGCAGACATACTTAAAAGAAGGAAATACAGCACTCCTTGTAGGACACCATTCTAACAAAAGAGAGACAATCATATTTAGAAATAATCTATACAATTCAGATTTTACTAAATATTATACTATACTTACTTCAGCTATTGTTTGTTTAATTTTTTGGAAGTTTAATGTTTTGGCCTCTTCTAAGATAGTATTTTCATCCAACGACAAAACATTAAGTCTACTTTTGCACAATTCAATCACAACTATGTCTGGCTGCACCGCTCTTATGGTCTACAAACAAGACAATGATTAAAGTCTTAGAATCGTTCATTGAAAGATAAGAAATAATGAAGAAAAAGAAAAAAAAAGCTTTTCGTAGTTTTTGATCATAACAGTTATAATATAGGCATATGTTATAATATACAGGGGTGATTGTGAGCCCAAGTCAAAATTCCAGAAAATTTCCTGAGTAAAAAAAAAAANAAAAAAAAAAAAAAAAAAAAAAAAACAGTTTAAATGGGGGAAAAATTTAAACAAGGTTTTGCCCTTTTTCTCAATCTTTCTTAGTTTACTTAAAATATAGTTAAAATTTTACACATACTTACACCATTTATACATACCTATGATAACCTGGAGAAGTAATTGAAATTTACAATCTTTCTTTCTTGAGTTTATGATTATAATAACTATAGTCACATAAAATTAACATTAATCTTGAATATAAAGCTTATAAAGTATCTGGCTCTCACTTGCAAACAAATAAAATAAACTGTGTTTTTAAGTTCCACCTTTCAAAATTTGATTTCCGGAAACTTTTGTGATCAATGATTTTTTGAAAAATCTGGCCCTTCGATCTCCGGAAACTTCCGGATCACGGTTAGCAAAAAATCCGGAAATCCAGATTTTTTCCGGAGCACAATCAGCCCTGAATATATAATGGGTATTGATAAAATATAAATAATAAAAGGCATCTGATAAGCCATACTCACATTATAGCCAAGAAAAAAATATTTGATTGACATAGATAAACTGTACTTACACATTAGAGCCAAAAAAAATTTTAATGCATTCATTATAATAAAAATGAAAACAATAATGAATAATAAATTAAAACAATAACTGGAGAAGGAGATTTAACTTTGAACTGTACAAGATTTATAAACAACATATTATTAAATACATAAAAATAAATAGAATGAATTGGATTGCCCACGTGATTCGAATGAGTGACGACAACACAATAATAAAGATACAGCTTTTTAGACCCACTGGAAAAAGAAAGCGGGGAAGGCCGCGGTTGAGATGGGCTGACTCAGTGGAGCCTGATTTTCTCACAATTAATGAAAAGAATTGGAGATCAAAGATAAATCGGAAGTTGTCGTGGAAAAATCTTCAGACGAAGGCATTGGCTCACATCGGGCTGTCTGGCCAACTATAATGATGATGATGATAAAAAAAAATAATTCTAAGCATTAAACTAATGCTATTTATTTTTAGAAAATAAAGTTAATTTTATTGAACAAAGTTTTTTCACTCATAATTATTTTTTAATAAATAATTTTCCAAGAATTGTACTGAATTTTTAATTATAAGAATTAAGCACAAGAAAAAGCTGAAAAATCATAGAAAAAGGAAAAAGATAAGAAAGAAGGAACACAATGTTACTGCATGTATTAATGAACTTGATAAAAACAAGTGCATGAATTTGAGAAAATCATTTTCAGAATCTATAACGAAAAAAAATAATTTAAAAAAAACTTTATGGAATATGTTTCTTTTACTAATTACTACCTTGTCCAAAGAACAATTATAAAAGTTAGTATATTCTACACTGATAGCTGATCATGATAAACTTTCAAACACTTAAAATCAATTACTTTAATCAAACTGAAATTTTAATTGAGCACACATGGATACTATAATTAGATACTATTTAAACTTTTAAGAATACTATTTAAAAAATTTAATTCAATACAATTTACAAATTATTTTTATCTAACCTTTGCTACATCTTCTTGGCTTTCTAAACTGAAATGAGCAGTCCCCACCACAAACACTTTTGATCCGTTCTTCGTCTCTAGGACAGTGACTGTGTTTGGAAGATCTTCTATGGACTGAGTGGAACGGAATTTCCATTTCATGGCAGTGGGATAAAGCGTATCTTCAAAACCAGATCGGTCATTTTCTGATTCATCCTCACTCTCTTCTTCATCTGTTGAAAATACAAATAAACATTTTTAATAAATCTAAAACACAACTGTAAAGAAGAAAAAAAAAAGTTCCAAGTTGATAAATATAGGAATATACCCCTCATTTGAATATGAATTCAGATTCAGAGCCTTTTATATATATATATATATACCATCACTATAATGAACCTCGGAATATGGTGAACACTTGATTGTAATGAACTTTTTTAGTGGTCCCTTCTGAATACCCATTAAACTTAAGTTTTTTTTCCTTTCCAATGCCCGCCTGTGTTAACATCCGTCAATTCAGGCATTTACAGGGCGATTTTGTTGGCCTCTCTTTCAGGGGTACCATATTAGGTGGGCCAACGTCGCTCCTGCAGTCAGGACAGATAGTACAGAGAATGAAAGAACGTCCATGCCTTGCCCGGGATTCGAACCCAGAACCTTTCTGATGCAAGGTACTAAAGCTATTTTATATGCTTATAATGGAAAACAAGTAGTTTGTTTATGGTGGACACTTAATTTCATTTCTCTAGTTTCTGCTTTTATTTTTCACTTTCAAACTAAGGCAAACAAGCTGTTAAACAGCAAATCCTTTTTCTGGCTCCTCATCTACATGTTGAAAACGATCAAGAAATTTCCACAATTTATGCTGAAAGTAAATTTTTTTTTTGCAGAAAATGAGGCCTAAAAAATACTGGATTCTTTACTAATAGTTGATTTGAAAATTGGTGGATTCTCCATAAAAATGAAGTAAAGTCAATCGAAATCGCCAATTTCTTTATTGAATGCAAAAATTATTTATTTTTCTTTTAATATTTGATTTATAATCTAGTTAATCAATTATTAAATTTATAGAAAAAATTAGTTACTATTGTAATCATAATTTCCAACAATACACCACCCTCGACTAAAAAATGATTTTTCAAATATTTGGATACAGTGAACCACGCTTTATAGTGAACTGGGTCTGCAGATAGCTCACTATAACGGAATTCAACTTTATATATTCCTTGAAAAATTAAAAAATATTTGTTATGTTTCTGGTTCTTACCGTGACAATAAAAGAAAGAAGTCCATTAGAAATAATCAGATAAAATGCGAAACAAAATAAAACCAGCCAAAATGGGAAAAAAAACGTACTCTATTTTTATAACAAAACATTTTGAAATTTACAAAATTGACTTGCCTGAATATATTTTTAAAAAAAATGAGAACCTCAAAATTTGTGATTCAGTATAAAGTTTCGATTCCTCTAATTTATTTGTCTTTCAGAACATAAATTTGCAAGATGTGCAAGTGTTAGAAATTAACAAATATGTGTAAAAATTATTTCTAACAATGCACAGTAAAAAAAATAAGATTTTAAATTATTCTATAATAAATCTATTCAAATTCCAAAGAAAAAAAAAGGAAGGAAAAAAACTTAGTAGAAAAATACTTCGACAAATATTATTCACCAATCGAATATTCCACAAAAAGGCGGAACACCAATAGTGGACAAATATTCGTTACAACCCTATTTTATATAAAAACTATTCTCATAAAAAAAAATTCCAGATTATCTCTTCTAGATTAAGCAAACAGATCTAGATGATCATTTATAGAAAAAGGAACAAAAAATCACAAATAAATTGGAAATAAAAATAAGTAAATAACGATTTTAAGTTGACAAAATTCTGCTGTTTCATCTTAATTAGAATTCTCATTTTTCATAATGACAAATCATAAAATGGCATTCCAGAAAAATTACACAAGAATAATAAATAATTTTGAAATATCTGGATATTTTTAGAAGATGATAAAAAAAAACTAAAGCTTCTGTCAGCATTTTTTTTTTTTTACTGTTGTATATTCCACACACAAAGCTGAGTATATAGAAAAAGACTAAAATTAAAAAAAAAAATAGGGACTCAAAAAGTTATTCAATTTTAATGACATGAAATGGGAGCAAACATCACAATTCAAGCTAATCAGCAATTGCTTAATAACACATGAATTTAAAATGCTAAGTTTTAATTTTTTTTTAAAGACGGTCATATGATTGTCAAAAATATTAAAATAAATAAATCCAATTAAAGTGCTTAGCAAATTTATTGCTGCTGAATAACAAAAATTATAAAAAATTCAACCCATGGGAAAGATTTGTCAGCAATGTTACCTAATAAGTTATTCACTATAATAATTTGAGGACAGTTTTAAAATTAATCTATGTTGAATGTCCTTTAATAGAATATTTAATAATAGTCAAATATAAATCAATATTCGATAGAATAAAGCAAAAACAATGCAAATTAATCACAAATAAAGGTATAGAAATGGATTGTTGTGATTCACTGGAAGCTACATTTTCTATATAAATAGAGAATAAATCTATGAATAACTTCATAACTACCTGTAGCAAAATATCAACTTCAAAAAGAATAAAAATATAGAAATATGATTGAGTGGTCAAGGTAGGTATAATATAAATTACTTGTTTTAAATCACTTGATTTTTAAAAAAATAATTAAAATTACCTGTGACTTTTTTCTAAATAAAAAATCAATGATTTAAATAATCTATTTCTTTAAGAAACTAAATCATTAAGTCGAAAATATTTTATAAATACAAATACATTCTTTGGGCTGTGATTTGTTTAAAATTCGATTTCATTGATAATAGTGGTTTAATCCAACTAAGTAACGAGAATATAAAAAAAAGATGTAATTTATTATATTTCAAAAGAGACAAATAAATAAAAAGCAATTTTAATAGAATGACTTGAAACTTACAAATTATAATTTGTCATTAACGTAAAATAATTTGCAAGTAATAATCTGTTACTTAGTATTTTTTTTTCTTAAATACAAGTGCTTTTAAACTTATTTTAAACATATAGTTAGAGTATACCACTAATATAGAAAAACTTGTTCTGCCCAGAATACCTTAAAATTACCTTCTTTCATGAATGTATTCTGTAAATCATGATTTGCATCTTTTAACAACTTTGGCTCAGTTGCAAAATTCTTAAAAAAAATTAAAGCCTAAGATACGAGGGTTGTAAATTAAATAGTGGCAACTTAACCTTAAAACTCACAGAAGGGGGGGCATGCGCAAATAGGATATGGGAGCGGTGAGGTGGCGCTGTTGTTGATGTGTAGAGTGCAAAAAACAGTTGATTTGCTTAGAAGGATAGTTGTTGCGTGGCGTTAAAGTGAAGAGTTTCGTTTCCATCGCTCTAAGCGTGCTTTCAAAAGGTGTTCAGCGGTCTTGGCTTAAAATCGAGGTTGCCCGTGGCCAAAATGCAACAGAATGCTATCGAGGATTAGTGGAAGCCTGTGGCGCAAATGCTTTACCGTATAGGACAGTAGCACGATGGATTCAAGCATCTCGTCTTTTTTCGTCATCAAGCCTTTTGACAACATGCTTTAGAGCGATGAAAACGAAACTCCTCACTTTAACGCCACGCAACAACTACCCTTCTGAGCAGAACGACTGTTTTTTGCACTCTACACATTGACAACAGCGCCACCTCACCGCACCCATATCCTATTTGTGCATGCCAGCCCTTCTGTGAGTTTCAAGGTTAAGTTGCCACTATTTAATTTACTACCCTCGTATTTTAATGAATCTCTTGTTCAACTCACCAACAGAGCTTGAAGAATGAACGTCCAGGTCATTACACTGATTTTCACTACTGCACTCTGTCACTAAAGATGATGGTGTGTCTTCCTTAGTTAGAGTCCCATTAGACAGGATACTGTCACTGGCAGAAAAGGAATTAAAGTTTGACTGATCCTCCTCAGCATCTTCAAAGCTATCTGATAAAGAATCTGGCGTGAAACTGTTCTTGTTTTCTTCCGATATGGCACTAGAGTTTGTGGGAGAGTTTTGGTGGTTTTCATTACCTCCTTCTGAATCTGGATTATTATTGGACTGATCATCAGTATGAAGAGTGCCTTTGGCCAATATACTAGCATAAGACACTTTACTTGGGTCTGAAGCGAGTGACTCGATTTTTCCATTTTCCTCCATGACGCTCAAGCTTACCGAATAGGTCTCTCGACTAGAAAAGGATCTTGAATCTAGGCTAATACTTCTCTTAATGAAGAAATTAAATGTATCTAAAAGCAAAAATTTAATGGGTCAAATTAAACATGTAACTCAAAGAAATATAAAAAGTCAAATATATAATAATTGTTGCAATTTGTTTTCAGTCAAAAAAACATTAAAGAATGTATGTGATGAAAATAATGGTTGCTCACAGTTTTAAATAACAGGGGTAAATCTAAGTTTTCCAGAGAGGTACCTATTTTGTGAAAATTTAGACATAATTTGTGAAAATTAAAAACATTAAAAAAATCAACACAAATATGTGGTAAAAATATGGATTTATTGTTTCTTACGGGATACAAAAATGGAATTTTAAGAAAAAGTATTTTGTGAAACTACCGCTTTTCCTAAAGTTGAATTTGCCTGGATAGACCCCTAAATAAACAAGATAAATAAAACAAGATTAAAGGACAAGTGAGGTAATTATAACCACAAGATAATTGTAACCAATGCCATTCTTAAAACTACTTGTCCAGATCAAGAATTTAAAAACTATGTTCTCTCAAGTTTCACGTATAAATTTTGCTTTAGAAACATTTTATTTAAATAGTTTGTGGTGACCTGCCTACTACAACTCAACGCTGCGAGTCTCGTATCCCATAGCAACGAGGAACACAAATAAAAGAATACTAATGTTTTTCTTCTGCTGCTGCTGCTGCTTGATAATTCTCNTTGGTGCAACACTTTTCTCCCGGCAACCACGATTCATGACCCTGATTTTCTGCTCTTTTGAGCGCGCCCCGTGTTCTTTGTTCGCCAAGGGTAATTATAACCACAAGATAATTGTAACCAATGCCATTTTTAAAACTACTTGTCCAGATCAAGAATTTAAAAACTATGTTCTTTCCAGTTTCACGTATAAATTTTGCTTCAGAAACATTTTATTTAAATATTTCTTAGATATAAATATTTTCCAATGCTTGTTCTAAAAAAGTATGCAAACATTGTAAAAACTACTTTGGTTCTAAGCTGATTCAATTATTCTAACAATCGAAAAAAAAGCTGAGGTCAATTATTTTCTGTTTAAATTACAATTTATTACATGATAGTATATGGTCAGAATTACTTTTTCGCTTTTACTTAAATATGGCAATTATGACCATATTTTAGGTTAACTAAAAAATTTTGAATTTTTTGTCTTGTTATGTAGAAATGCAAGAACCTACAGAAAAAAGAAGACTCATGTTTTTTACTCTTTAAAGAACCTACTGGATGTAGTTGGAATGGTGAAAGAGAAGAACGTGTAACTGATTAAATGTATTTCATCATACTTCTTAAAACAATTACTTAAAAAGAATCTAGAATTAGTGATAATTATAAATATTAAACAAAATTATCAATATATGGTAGTCTTTACCAAATATATAGTAAACAAATTATTTAAATAACAAAAATTGTTTCACAGCAATTTATTTTGACATATATTTATATTATATTAGGACGATTAGTGTTAAGATTTTGCTTATGAAACAGCATTGCATAACACAAAATCAGAAAAATTAAAAATATTCAAGGTTTCCTTATTTTTTAAATTTTCAAAGAAAAAATACGCAATTAATAGTTTATAAGTTCAAATACCGATTTTCTCTACCATTTACTTGATTGCAAAACATTGATAATAAATAAACATATAGAAGCACTGAAACAAAATTAGAATTTAAATTGCTAGACCAAATATTTAGATTTCAAAGAAAACATGTTAAATGATCCAAGTTTAAATGAAGAAAATAAAAATTCTCATGAAGTGCTGTCAGCTCAACAACCACAACAAATGCCGACAATCATTTACTCTACAAGATTTAATTGACTTTTTGGTTAATATTTAAACACAACTCTACCAAGAAAATTAATTCCACCGAAATTTCTAAGATTGATAAGAGTTTTAGCATTCCACATTCAATTTTCCTCTAAGAAGGCGCCATATGATTATTTTTCCATCAAGAATTCGTTGCCTAACTTTCGATTTCCCAAACAACACACGAACGACGACGAACACGACAGTTTTATGAATGCGGTTATAGTGAGCAAAAAACTTTAAATAAATTTCGGAAGGAATCTCAAAAGCCTATTTTCACTGGAGCTTTTGATCTTTTAAATGTTGTCGAGAAAGATCGATAAGTTTTCGCGGGAAAATGTTTTTCCCCAATCAGGCTTTCTTTCCTCCTCAAAAGCAATCGGAATAGCATGCAGTGAGAGTGATAATGGCTCGTAACACATGATTCCCACTAGCTCAAACGTCTCTGGTGGCGGTCAAGGAGCAAATGGGTGACTAAAATTATTAGCCTGCGAAGAGACCAATTGTGCGTTATATCGGTCCTCTTTATACTATTTTACCGGAAAGGGCTCCAATCCCAGCCATCACCTATGCAGGTAGGTATTTTATTTACATCGTACTAGAGCTGCACAATGAGTTATTGGCGACAGTCTGAAAAACATCCCTAAGGATGATCTGAAGACATGCCATCACAATTATTATCCTCTGCAGGGGGGATGTTGGCCTCGCTTCGATAGCCCAGTAACCTGCGTGCGATGGCGAGCATTTTACGGTAGAATATTTTAACGAGGACCGATAACACTCACCCTCGGTCACTACGCAGTTTGATAAAAGTGGTCAGATACTCGCTTACTGACCGCAAACAATGATGCTTGACTTCAGTGTTCTACTGTGGACCGTCTTTTTTAAGATCAGTCTACTGCGGAAAATCACCTCCGCTGAGCATTAAAATTATATATGACATGCCTTCATGTCATCCTCTTTGATGTTTTCCAGACCGAAGTAAATAGCCCATTACGCAGCTATAGCGCGATATAAACCACAACTTTATGTCCCGCAGTGGACTGATCGTTAAGACACGGTTCCCAGCAGATCACCGAAGTCAAGCATCACTGGCTGCGGTCAGTGTGCGGGTGGGTGACCCAGTGGCGTAGCGAGGGGGGAGCAAGGGGGGGCATCATGCCCCGGGCGCTACTCACAAAGGGGAGCCAAATGGTCAACAACGCGCGCAGGTCGTCGGGCTACCGAAGCGGGGGTGCCATCCCCTCCGCAGAGGATCAAAATTGTGATGGCATGTCTTCGGATCATCCTCCGGGATGTTTCCCAGACCGTCGCCAATAGCCCATTGTGCAGCTCTAGTGCGACGTAAATTAACAACAACAACACAACTTTATTTCCTAATAGCTGATAAGTATAACGTTAATTTTATCAACTGCAAAAAGAATATTCAATAAAAAACGAGGTTTTCAATGAGAAAAGAACTCTCGCGTTTGATCTAGCAGACATCATTGGTGGCAAATATCTTCATTCGATGTAAAATATATATATATATATAAGCATTCGAAGTAAAAAAAGAAGCTAACAGAAGATATGACGTCAATGTCTTAGCGTTATAAAAGGATGTTTCATATTCAGATAAGAAAAAGTTCCCACATACAATTGATTCATATAATAATCTCACTCAGACAAAGAAGTTAGCGGGGCTGATACTAAAATATCTAATTTACATAGGCATAGATCAGAACAAATGTAGTAGGCAGTTACTATGAATATCTGTTCTGTATGGGAAAGATTTCGAAGATGTGCAACTTACTGCACAAGCTTGTAAATATGCTAAAATTTATAGTAATGATTTCAGTCTTTTGTTTCATTTAAAGAAAAAAATGTTAGTTCAAATCAACCCGTACGAAGCGTACTAGACTATACAAAGCATAAATGGCAGTACATACTCAAAGCAAGCTAAGTTAATCAATGGTTGCAGTAAAAATCAGTTTAACACAAAAACATAGAAAGAGTTGAAATCTGGAATCCATTGATCAAAACGTGTGGTGGGCTTCCAGCCTCCTCTATTTTTTCTCAAAAAATAGAAGTTCAAAAGCGTTGTATATAATGGGGATCGGAAATATCATTCCACCCAGGCGCTTCTCTCTTGTGACCTGTGAAGAAGCACAGGAAGAAAGAGTTCGTAATAGGGTAGCTCCTCTAGTGATGTATAACATTTTATTCGTATGCAGTTTATTTCCAGATAGTATGCCCAAGTTCCCGTAGAAGTTTGGCTCAGCATTTAGGTGACTCCCTCTTATAGATATCGTTTTTAAATCGTTACATTTCGACGAAAAATAGACCAAAAATGTAATTTAAGAGGGAAAAAATCTTTAGCTTGGAGAGAAAAACCAGATAGCAGATTTGAAATCAATGATACGAAAGTATGCAAGATCTGTTAAAAATCCTCATGACACAGAGAAAAAAAATTTGTTCCTCAGTATAGTCAATCAGAACCAACATGAAAGACTATAAGAGAAGAAACGGAAAAACTAAGAGTTATTGAACTATGAAACACGTGGGAGGGAAGAAAAAAAATATATTTTTTCTTTATAAAATGGGTCTGTGCTTATATTTATCACCAAACATATTTATAATCTAAAATGAGAAGGAAAAAAAAAATGAACATAGAAAAGCCTGACTTTTTTATCCAACATTAAAACTTAGTTCTGAAACACTTAAAATAACAGAAGCAAATGATATTGGTAGGATGTTATTCAAAAAAAGATTTTTATCACAACGAAATTAACATAGACAGGTAATGAATGTGAAACAGAGTATTGTTCAATGCAACTCACTCAAGTAGTCACTCAATGCAACTCACCCCTTACCTTTATCACTTTCTAAATTTATTTGCTTTTTTAAACTTCATGCTGATGGTAGCAGAACGTAGATAGATGTTTGAGTGAAGTCAAGTCTCATTACTTATCCAGGTTTGTGAAGTCAAGAGTAAGGGAACAAAAACATTATTCAATTAATTATGACAATTTTTAAAATTACGTTTTATAACAAAAATAATTTAACTTCAGAAAGTTTTTTTAATCTATATTTCATTAAACTGTTGACAAAAAAAAAAAAAAATTACTGAAAATCAGATAACTATGAAACTGACTTCAAAAGAAAAAATTAATAAATTATTACCCGATATATTTATAAATTATCACCCAATTTATTAATTTCAAAATCAAATTAATTCATCTTAGTCACAAAATTAATTTAAAAGATAATGCAAATAAATTTCTTGTATCATTTGTAATAGTTTATGAATATTTAACAGATATACCATGAATATATAATTACCAATAAATCTTCTTGAAATAAAAGGTTTGTGCCTGTGGGATCTTGGTATTTAATGTATATTTCAGCATATAAGTAAACCCCCAATTTGAGATTATGAGATAGCCAACTGTCTGGTGTATAAGTTATGTACTGAAGAAACCAAATATGAAAATATTTAATATAAAACGAAATTAAGTACTTGCAGATTAAAAAAAATATTACAAAAATTTTTTAAGTTAAAAATATTTCACATTGTTATATTTGTATAGTTACTGTATATTTGTATAGTTCTCTGTTACATTTGTATAGTTAAATTTACCTTCAAATAAAGATGCATAACGTTATTGAATCCGACACTGATGATGTTCTGGAGTCTTTAAATTAATAGTTATATGGTATGTTTTAAAAGTTTTCATTGCGTTATACATTTTGAAATACTCTTGACCAAATTATCTTAACTTTTCTTACTCTTAATTTTTGTCTGAATGTAATTTAGAAAGTTTCTAAAAATAAACTTTATATATAATATGTCTGACTTCATTTTGAGATGGGTGCATAAGTGAAAGTATCACCTGACTTTAAACCAACATGATAGGACAGGTATATGAATTTTTCCACAATTTTTTTTTACAATTAAGTAATCAAATCAGACATTAGTGCTTGCAACTTGGGTAAAAACAGTGTTTTAACTTTGAAGATTTAGGTTTTTCTAGATCACAAAGATTTAGGTTTATGGAGATTTTAATTTTTTTTTAGATCGTCACATTCATATACATTTATTTTCATGCTATTAAATAGGAAAGTTTATTGTTTTGAATGATATTTACTTAAGTCACATAAAATATATCACAATTTTGACATAGTGAGTAAATTATTGTCTGCACCGCTTATCTTCACAAGATCTTCTTTATAAATATTTTTAAATAGTTAAGTTGAAAGCTTGTAAAAGCATAAATTATTTATTTCATTACATACAAAATGCTATCAGTATATAAGATATCTTGCATTAAAAAAAATTGGATAACAAAAGTTTAAAGAAAAACATTAAACTATAAAAATGAAATACAAAGTAAAAATCTAAAGATTTTATTTAATCAACAATGATCTTAGCAAAAATTCAAAAGGTTGCAAAGAGTTCTAACAATTACAAAGATATGAAACTTTGGTTGATTTTACAAAATAACTTTTTAACAAGAAGACAACACAAATGCTAGAATTAAATAAAAAGTGGTGGAAATTACTAAATAATTTAAGAATTAAGTTATAGATGTATCACATTTAATGACAAAAAATTTTCTTGCATCTAATCATCACAAACAGGTACTTATCACTTACATCTTTAAACTAATAATGAAATTAGGGAACATCAAGCATCTTCCCACCAATGCAATGGTTTGCAGAAGAGCCGTCATAACATTTTAAAAATCCTAATTCATTATAAGTTAGCATCTTAATCACCTACTGCTGCCGAAGGGTTTTGCTGATACACTCGTAAAAGAGAATGCTCGCACGGTTAAAAACATTCTACAGTTTTGAGCCACAAAAACCCTTCTTTAGGCAACAGTAGGACTTAACCTCAGCAACCAGCTTGAAGAGAAGATTTCCCAGAGCTTTTGGTCACTGACATTGTAGTAAATATCTAAAAAGAAAAAAATAATTTTGCTTACTTAGAATTCAATCAATGAAAAAAGAATACTTAGTATGTTACTTCAAAAAAAATAAATAATAATAATAATAATAATTGAGCATACAAATTTATATAATAAGATATAGTTTAGATAGATTTTTATTTGGGATCAGCATATTCGAAAGTTCCAATTACATTTAACCAGATTTATTTCCCAATTTTTTTTACAATAGTAAATACACATTAACTCAGTTTTTTGAGGAGTTAATTGAAATTTCATCTAGAAATAAATCATTATTTTTTTTTCTCTAAGAATCCAAAAGTTTCAAAAACTTTTTTAAACATTTAAAAAGACTACCAATATGAGAAGATTTTTTTCACTTGGAAGAAAAATCAATAAAACCAATAAATAATCCTCAATATGTTTGTACCAGTCTTAATTAAGTAGTGATGAAGAGACTTTTCATATGTTATTATTAGATATTACACACTTTTCTTTTTTAAAATATGTAGATTTTTTTTAACTGGAAATCTTGCACCATTTAATTAACAGTAGGTGCTGCTTAAAGATGGATGGAAATTAACTAAACAGCTAATAGCATGTTAATTGCTATTAGCTGTTGAGCTTTTTGACAATATATGTATTTGTAAGAACAAATATAAATACATATAGGGTGTTTCACAACTTATGGGCAAAAATTTAAAGAATTTAAACTAAACAAGCAATTTTTACCATACAATGAATATGTGGAAAGCAAGCAGTGAAACACTAGGATGTATCCATTACAGTCAGAGAAAAACCAAATGAATAGAGGAGATACTTAATTAGCTGGACGAAAATTAAATGATGTGAGCCACCAATAACGTCACAGGTGTAACATCTTCATTACTACTCTGCAGTTTCTGTAATGTTCGAACAAATGTTGTCAATAAAATTAATCTACAACCTCTTTCATTCATTTGGTATTTCCTTATTCCATGTGACAGTAACCTAGTGATCCACTGCTTGCTTTTTGTCAATGCATTGTATGGTGAAAAATGCTTGTTTAGATGTTTTTTATCACATTTGCCTTTAAAATATTTGAAAGTGAGTTTCAAAATACTCTGCATACTGTCAAAAAATATATCGAAGATAAAACTTTTGAAAAGAACAGACAAACAAAAAGGGAAAAATGCATAATTATGTTTATGTAACAGGGGGGAAAACTAATATACTTACATCAAATAAATAACATGTGATTTTTAAGTTTAAAAATAAATATTAATATTTTGGGACAAATTTTTAATTATTTGTCTGTTTTTGTTCCAAAGGGCAATTTTTTTATATCTTCCAACTCACTTTAAAATGGAATTTTTTTTTATCAAAATACAATTAGAAATGTGCATTGATTTTTTGATACCCTATTTTTAAAAGTAATCAAAAGTTATAATAGAATTTAATAAATAGTTAACTATAAAAAATAATTAATCCAAAAGTAATAAGTATACGAAGTAAATTCTCACTCGATCAAAGTAAGTTTTTAAAAAAACTAGCATCTTTTCTGGCTTGCTCAAAATACAAATCTTCAGGTTCAGTGCAACAAAAACCTGAACTTATTTCTAAAAAGTTTACAAAGAGTACACAGCAATAAATAGTCAAGTCTTACTTCAGCACATGTTGGATGGATTCCTATTGTTGCATCAAAGTCAGCTTTTGTAGCACCTAATCTCATGCCTAACGCAAATCCTTGAGTGACTTCTCCAGCATTTGGTCCCAAGTAATGAAATCCTATTACCTTTTCCTAAAAATACAATTACATAGATAACAATGTAGAATATACATAGCTAACAAAAACAAAAAAAGACAATACTTTTTATGATATGGAAATTTTACAACAATTAGTTCACAATTTATCAAACATTCCATTAATAGAAATTTTTAATGACTAATAGAGAAAATAAAATACAAAATTGTATTACACTAACTACTAGAAATTCAACGCTTAAGGGCCTAGAAGTGTTTCAGGTTTACTTCCCACCAGTTATAATTATAATAATAATTATGCAATAAATTTAACTGCAAATATGACAATGCACAGTATTATTGCCATACATGCAACATTGTACCCAGTAAGTTAAAGTGCCCCACCATGTTTACTGCATTCTTACATTCACAATTTCAAGTTGCAGAATATATTAAACTCAATTTTGATAGTTGTTAAACATATTCTTGAATAACAAATAGGTTAGAAACTCACAAAACAAAATTTAAATATTCTTGAATTAATATAAAAATAAAAATGGTCTAAAATCATAGAAAGGTTTCAAACTAATTATAATAAGTTTAAAAGTATATTATTAAATATCAGTCTGAATTTTTTGTTATTTAAAACGCTAGAAGATCTCAGGTTTCGTAGTGATTTAAAATAAAGTCACATTTTTAAAAAACTCACGGCAGTTTCTAATACATTACATACTAAATTGTTTATTTTATGAAGAGCAAAAAAAAAAAAAATAGTGCAATCAATTTGATAATGTTTGTTTTGTGCAGCATATTTCTTTAATTCCCCACAAAATTAAAAAAGAAAAAATAGGCAACAATCAGCACTTTCAAATAAAAAAATTATCAAAAATGTCTTTAAAAAAAACAGTGCAATATCAGGAATGCTTACAAATGGTAACAAATCTCAGAATCTGATCTTTCTTGACTTCTGAGATTTTTCAATATAAAGATAGATCAAAATAAGTTATAAGAAAACTGATAATTATAGTTATCTTCATGCGACAATTAATTTCTTCAAAACTAAACGGTATATATATAATAGGCATATAGTATATATAAATGGCTAAAGAATAAATGCATACAAAAATAAACAAAAAATTTTTAAAAAAAAACTTGATGTTACACATCCTAATCTGGATAAAAAAATAGGAAATTAAACAATTACTTTAAAAGTATATACCCTGATATACTGCTAAAAATATTCAGAGCATGCACACATCTCCATTGATAATTAGCTTATGTTTATAAAAAGAGCTTCTTTCTGCCAGATATGTGAATGAACTTAAAGTTAGTTACTTATTGTTATGTCAAAGTTTTTTTTTTTCTCATCTTTATGAACTTTTAATTATTTTCCTTTTAGAAGTAAATAGTGTGCAACTAATTTTTTTATTTATTTTGCATGCATTAATTTGTATTAAAACGTTAATATTCAATTGTTCTATATATATTGGGCTATGTTATCGAGGGAAGTTTCAAAAGGTTATTAATTAAAAAAGAAATTATTTATATAATACAAGGTCCAAGGTTTGCAGCATAAATTTTTTTCATTATAGTGCATAATACTCATTTAAATTATCTCACAAAAGGCTAACAACTACTATGATTTTAGCATTATTGTTAATAGTTTATGAATATTCATAAAATAGCATGAACATTCACTAAAAAATCTTGAAATAAGATGTTTGTGCCTGCGAGAACTTTATATTTACCATATATTTTGGTGTATAAGTAAACATCCTATTTTTTATTACAAGATAACAAATTTCTGGTATGTTAGCTAAAGGTAAGCTAAATAAACCAAATATGTAAATTTTTTAAATTTAAATATATATATATGAAATTAATTATTAAATACTTAAAAAATTATTGAAATAAATTATTTAAAAAAATATTTCTCATAGTTCTCTCTGTTACATTTGCCTTTAAATAAAGATGCATAACATTATTGAATCTGACACAGTTTGGAGCCTTTAAATTAATAGCTTTATGTTATGTTTTATAAGTTTTCATTGTGTTCATTGTTTTTCTTGTGTTCTTCATTGGAATACCCTTGAATAAATTATCTTAACTTTTTTTATTCTTGATTTTCAAACTATTTTACGGAGTAGTAGAAATTTAAATGCAAAGCTTTCAGAATTTTTGAGTAATTTTGCCAACATTTTAAAAGCCACACCATGAAAGAGCTGGAACAAAGTGGCATAGCAGATGAATTTTTAAATTATTTACAGTGGTGTGGAAAATAAGTTTAAGTGAATAAAAAATAATACACTAAAACTTAAACTTAGCTACCACTAAAATAAATTTTAAAAGCGTAGAAAGTTGGCAGTTCTGTAGAAGCAATAAAACTGGGGGAAAAAAAGCATGTCTTAAAAAAGATTTTCTTAAGATACTTTTTAAATTTCAGGGACTTTCTTCTAAAATAAACAAAAGCTATGAGTGATTTAAATTGAAAATTAATATAAAAAGGCAATGCTAGTGGAGTTAGCAGCTATAATAATAAAATAAAATATAAAGACTTACATTATCAGTTTTAAGGCATATTAGTTTTGCATAACAAACATTTCCTTCTCTGTGTGCTACAGTCCACTCGAGAGGTGTTAGGTTGGAATGGTAGACCTGTGTAAAATAAATAAACATTTGTTAATCATGAAGTTAGCACTATCATACAAAACTATCTTGTGGACAGAAAAGGAGCAACCCTGCCAATAGATAAATAAAGAAGTAGCAATTAAAACATAGAAAAAAATTATCTCTGTAAATGCTGGTTAATAAAATAGCTAATGGTAAAGCATGTACCTCAATATTTTCTTCTCCATAGGTGTCTATTGCTTTTTCTTCAGAAAATCCAATACATCCATACTCCAAAGGAGTGAACACAGTAGTTGCAATATTATTGTAATCACACTAAAATATAAATGCAAAAAGTTAAGGAACTACAATCAAGTAAGAAAAACATTTAAACCAGACAAAAAATATTAATGGTATTCTTTTAAAGACGGAATTGAGAATTAATGTCCAAATTTTATCATTGAATTGCTCACATTAAGTTTAATACTATTTAATTATTTCTTAAATAAATAATAATTTCTTTAACGTTACCTTAACCTTTTGCCGAATAATACATTAGATATGATCATGATCAAATATATGTAGAACATATCATAAAAATTTTGTAATAAATAATACATATACAGGAGCATACTTTAAGAAATTTAAGAATTTATGGACACATGTCTGTTACACATTGATTTTGAATTTAAAGTAAAATCTATCAAAAATCAAAGAAAAATTTTAAAAAAAAAATGATTTTCATGTAGTAAAATAATATACATTTGTCTAAATTGATTTTTATTGTCTAAGTAGGAAAAAGGAGAAATAGACAGAAATTATTTGCAACATTAACCCGTTAAGATTTATCTTCTATGTTGACCACTATAAATTAAATAACGCAGGGAAAATAATTGAATACTATTGCAAACCATTATAATTTGACTGTGTGGTAAATAAATAATGATTAATTTCCTATTCTATTGATAGTCTACTAATATTGGTGTGACTAATATTTGGCCTAACCCAGCTATAACTATTTCTATACAATTTCAAGAAACTAGATCCAAAATAAATTGAAAAACCATAGAAATAAAAGTTCAAGATATTTATCTACCCTGAAAATATTCACAAGGGTTTATAAGTCATGTACGATTGTCATACAAAAATAATCATAAAGTATTTTTTATAATTATAAATTTAATTAATATTACATTTAAGCATCTTCTTGATAAATACAACCAATGAAATTTTTCTCAGTTTAAATATATTAGAGAGCAAATTTATTCTACATCTTTCTACAACTGCTTTATATACTTACATAAAAAATTAACCACTGAAATTTAAGGATAAAAGGTTTGCTGCAATGTTACGATTTTATAAAACAGTAATTTTTAAATTCTACTACCTACGCATAACTTTGGGGGAAAAAAGGAAAAAAAGAAGAGAAACCTTGAAAGAAAGAACCTTGGTAAAAATCAAAAGTTATCACTAGCAAAATCATGGATTCCTCATTCATTCAATATTTCATAGTGTCTAAATTAACATTTTTCCTTACATAATTTTCCAGCAGGAGAAAGTGCACTGTTTTGAATCCATTCCCTTTTCATTATTAAAACAGCGTATATTGCTAAATTTTCATCAAAAAATACCTTTTAAGAACTCAAAAATAATTTTAAGTACTTAAAAAAATATCAAAAATAATGTAAGTATACCATTAATAGTATTTTTTCTCCTTATTGTTAAAAGTTCATTTCATACATGAGAATGTGCAATAACTAGCTTCAAATAACTCTATTCTTGGTTACATTAGCCATCATGAAACATTTTATGCATAATTTTAAATATATTCAATATTGTGTTACTAATTCTATTTTTTAAATAATAATTACTTTACTCACATTAACAAAAATTAATTTCAATTCAAAATTACAATTAGTTAAACTTGAATATGAAAAAGTTATCAAATGTGTTAATTAGATTTAAATGAAAATTATTTTAAAATAAATATACTCAATAAAACATTTAAACGATTACTATTATAGATCATACTAAATTGATAAAGATGTTTACAAAATTAAGCAAACTGAGAAAAACTTAATAAATTCATTTTAGATATAAATTAGTGCAGGGTCCCTGAATTTTGTCTGGTGGATGGTCCTAATGTAAAACTCTCCCGATTAAAAGATCTTAAATTGTACTATTTTTTTAAACAAAACTAATAAAAGGTAGACAAAAATTTTTGGGTGGTGAAGCTCCGTGATTGCTGACTGCTCAAGCCTCTTATGAAAACACATAATTTGTGCATTATCCCTTAGTCAAGTTTAAGGATTCTGATCAAGAAATAGCGTAAGAACATAATAGACTTCTCAGTCTTGAAGACACTTAAGGCAGCAAAGAAATGAACAAAAGAAATAAAATTTCATTTTGCCATTTAGAAATGTATTGGGGAAATATTTTGGCAATGTTTCGTTAGTCCCCACAATCAGGAAAAATTCAAGAGACTTTTGGTTCGATCTTACAGAATATGAAGCCTTAAATCAGAAATCTCTTGCAAAATGCAGTACAGTTGATGCTTGAGTGCAGGAATCATTTCTCTCAAATCCTGTTTAGTAGACCGGTAGCCGCTAAAGCGTAAAAGGATTTGCCCTTTTGTACGGTGCAGATAAATGCAACAGAAGACTGAAGTGCATTGTAAAAACTTTGAATAGAACATTGCAGAAATTAAGCTTCTTGTGTAATTCATATCAAAAATTTACTTGGCAAAGGGAAAATCTTATTTTAAAAAGAAAAAAAATTAAGCACATTTAAGACTTTTAAAAATGAAAATCGAAAATAAACACCTTTATGCACCTTTTAAAAATGCTAAACGGCCTGTAAAATACTACAATTTTAAGTTTCTATTACTTAAAAATTAATCTGTTTTCCATTTTCATTTTAAACAAACAACTGCTTGTTAAAACATGTTAAAGATAAAAATTACCTAGTTGTGTTGTATTACACATTAATACAACAGACAAGAAATAAAAAAATAGCTAAATCAAGGTTGCCAAATAAGTGATTTTTTTGAAAATCAGGCAATTGCTCTTTAATTAACATTTCATTAGTGTGTTGTAAGGACAGTATAAGAAGCATATTACCATACTTATAAATCAAAAATTTACTGAAATATTCAACTTTTCCTTTATTAATTGGTGCTTTTTGAATCATAGATCACATCATTCTTAACAAAAATCAACTACTATAAAATACTTATAAAGCACGTCTCAAATTTTAACTAAAAATTTGTGTTTTAGTAGGGAGCGGTTAAACAGTATAAATTACAATCTGCAAAGTTACAAAATTACCATGTTTGACATGATATTTGTCGAAGTTATTAATAATCATATTTATAAAAAATATAAACAATGTATAAAACCAAATAATTTAATTAAATAGATTTTAGAAATAATTATAAGAAATAAATTTCTGGAATGTATATTCGATAACTTTTAATGCCCGCATTTGCTATATGTTTGTTTTCATGAAAAATGTCAGCACTATAGCAACATATGCAATCAATAAACAGTAGACAAACAAAATGAAAAAAAAAATGGAATAAAAATATGAAATGTAAAGGTATGAGAAAATTTTCTTATGAAACAAACAAAAATTTTCTCAATCTTTAAATTATCAAAAGAAAAACAGAATTATAGAAAATAATGTCTATTCTCTTATTAAGCCCATCATTTTCCTGGTTTGCGTACATTACTAACCAGGAATAAAAAAAAGCCATATTTGCTATATATGATTTAAAAAAATTATATTCTTATAAGAGAGGGTAATGGAAGTGAGCACTCATTTGGTATTGAAGGAAATTGCAGGGGACACTAGTTCAGTTTAATGCAGGACATGAGTTCTATTTACTACCAGTACCAATCTGTTGAATAAATATACAAATTGGATAGTCACAATTTAGTAAAATAATGTTTAGCTAAACATTGGACAGAGATATTACAATTTCTTAAAAAAATAATGATGATTGAGAAAAATAATATACCTGGGTAGAACTATCTCCATACAATCGACGAGCAAGCAGCAATCCTGCCTCTATTGCAACAGGAGTCAATTCTGGCTTTCCCTCCAAAATATCACCAATTGCATAGATGTATGGAACATTAGTTTGTTCATTCACGACAGGAATTTTACCATTTCTAAAATAGAAAGTTATAAATGTAAAAAATTTCTGAAAAAATTAATACAAATCATTATAATCTGGTAAGGATGGCTGATTTAAACCGAATAAGTTTCAATTTTTTAAGAAACAAAGCCTGCTTTTTTAAAAAAAATAACCTCTCAAAAATTTAATTTTTCATTATTTATTTAATTAAAATACTTTTAGTAAGAACAGAAGATGTCTAAAATTTCTTTAAAAAAATAGAGTGTCACCAAATTAATATTCGGATAGTTTTAAAAATAATCGAAATAATGTAGTTATTGAATTGTACAAAATAGTATTGAGACAAAAAGTGAAAGAAACTTTTTTTTTTCTAGATAAAGATACATTATGACTGCTACAATCAAAAGCATAAATGGGAATGAAGTGCAATACCGAATACTTTTACACTAGTACTATGTACTCACTCCTTTTGAGAATTATAATAGTACAGAACTATAATGGAATATTTTAATGGAAATATTAAAATAGTATATATTTTCATTATATACTATTTAAGTTAATGCAGCATTATGTTAATAAGTATACTATAAAATGTTAATGATTATTAAAGCATTAGAACTAAAATTCATTTTTAGTATTTTATTTAAAGCATTGCTTGATTTAGCATTCTTATTTAATTCATAAATGAAATCATGATTTAAATCAGTTTATTTAAAAAAAATGTCAGTAATTTAAATCAATTGCTTAAAAAATAATTAGTTAAAAAATTTACATACCAATATAAATAAATGATTTAAATTTTAATCAATTTAAATTCTAAAATTTTCAAAGTTTTAAAATTTATTGCTATTAAAAAGCTTCAGTTAGAAAAATCATGCTAATATTTGGCAGTCTAATGAACTCCATCAATTTTGAGTTGAAATTCTAAAAATTTTATAATGCTTACAAATTTTTCAGATTGCAAAACATTTGCGAAAATAGTATATTATTCAATGAAAAACATTATTTTATATGATGTAAGAACTTTTAAAAAAAGGTTAAAAAGTAAGGACTTAAAAAAATAAAAAAAATACAGCCATGAAATAGAAAATAAATAAAAATTACATACTTGGGATTAACTTTTACACCAACAGTTTCTAATCCAATTCCAGTAGTACAGGAATCACGACCAATAGCAAATAATACCTGAAAAATTTGTCGGCAATAAATTTACAAAAAGCATAACAAAATAAAGCATAATTGTATCAAGAAATCAAGCATGATTACTTACTGTATCATATTCATCAGCAATTTCTTCACCTGATTCCATTTTTCCAGTTACTCTTAACATGTGTTCAGCTGATTCATTTTTCTCAATCTATAAAAGAAAGCAATTACAAACATTGTGAGAAACAAGATATTTTGTACATATACAAATGATCCTTATTTTTAAGAGCAAGTACATTGAACTTATGAAAAAAGAATTTAAAAACAAATTATAAGACACGAAAGAATAACAATATATATTTCTATAAAATAAAGATTAAATAAAAATTTTTAAAAAAATGCCCTAATTTCATAGGTACAAGATACAAAGCGTAAAAAAAAAATGTTTTATACAATACACATCAAGTCTGAAACATCCTTCTTACCAAACTTTGGGCCCCATGACTGCAACGATGCTGGAAATTGCTGCTGATGCCCTGAAATTGCCCTGTATTAACAGGTTATTAATACAGTAGGGAACCGATTATCCGGAACGACTATTCCGGATAACTGATTTTTCCGGTTTTCTGAGTCGCTACAAAAAGCCGTTTTTCTTTATTGTTAAACCCAACTAAAAAAAAAATATTTGGAAATAATCATGAAAAAACGAAGTAATACACTAGTGATTGTTTCCAAAATGATGGTAACGTAAACATCTTTCAAAAAAGAAAGAAAAATCTTATGAGGAAAAAAACATTTTTAAAAAAAAAAAAAATGGCGGGAAAATCTATCAAATCTCCTTCCGGTTTTTTGGTTTTCCGGTTTATTGATTTCCGGATAACGGTGTCTGTACTGTAGTTGTTTTTCAGCCCCTTTTGTTGTCACATAGTAATTGTTAAAGATGATTGGACTTTCCATTTATTGGCCACTATTCAAAATTACTTCGCCATGTATGTACATTGTCTATGAAAACATTTATTTCATGTTGCATAGTAGACCTACTAAGCAACATTTGAAAAATTGGACTGAGAAACATTGACAATTCTAGGTGATCCTCATTAAAATTGGGAGTTAGTCGCTCAATCAACAACACTGAAATCAGGCATTCGTTTTGACTTGCTCTGTATTTCATAAAGTTATGAATTTGGCAGACTAAGCTTTGGACATGAAATTTTGTTCAGATAATGAAACAGATCCTTATCCTTATAGTCAACAAAATTACAGCTTCAATCAAATTACAGTCTTGTTAAGGATTTAACTAGGGAGCAAATTTAGGAAAATATTTTAACAATATAATAAAAATATTTCAACTAAAATAAATGGTTGCTTTATATACCATTTTAATATGATGCATTGTTTTCACTACAGCGCAAGAATCTCGCATATTTTTTTCTTTTCTCGCATTAAAAAATGATTAACGCGAGAAGTTCTCGCACTCTATTAATGAATTTCAAAATGAGCTAATCTCGCGAATTTTGGAAAAAATTTCGTCTTCCGCTATTTTAAATGAAATCCGTTTCACTTTTCTTCCTTGATCTTTCCTTATTTTCAACATCGGTCCTTGTTATCAAGCTTTCCTATTTATCAGTATTGTTCAGAACCAGTGCGAACAGCTGAACACAATGCACCCCCGAAACGCTTTCAGAACACATTTCTCTTCAACCACGTGTTAACCGTAGGTAAGGTTTCTGCATGTAAGACGTTTAAATTTTTTGAGCTTGAATGTAAGATGGACAAATACCTTGTTAAGGCAACATTTTCTAGTCCGTAACGGACAAATGAAAATGAAACAAATGTGGGTCAAAACAAAACAAATACGGATATTCAATGGATACGGATCAAATACTAGCATGAAGTAAGAACATGAAAATAACTTAAAATAAGCACTTTTTAAGCACTCAAAAATTATTTTTAAGCACTTATCGCTGATAGAGAAAAAAAAAGTTGACAATGTTTAGTTGGTCCTCGCAATCAGAAAAATTCAAGAGATTTTTTGATTTTATTACAGAGGTCAGAAAATAAAGTCTGAAATAGAGAATCTCTTGCAAAATGCAGCAGGGTTGCACATGAGATTCAAAAATCTTTACCACTGAATCCAGCTCAGTATACGCAAGTGCGGACCCGTAAGTATTTCATCAAACATGTAAAACAAATGATGTTTTCATACACTACAGACCAGTGGTAAGCCGAAGTAGATTGGGATTGAATTAATTATGAAAACGCTAAATAGAACAATGTCTTTTTGCATAATTTGTTGCAAAAATCAAGATGGTAAAAAAAAATATCAAATTTCGAAAAAGGAAAAATTTAGCATTTTTTAAAAACACCAATGGAAAAAAGCATCCTTTAGGGCTTTTAAAAAGTGAAAATAGAAAATAAGCACCTTTAAGCACTTTTTAAAAACGGTACGCACTCTAAATTACCATTTAATCATAATTTATTAAATCAATTTATTAATCCATTAAATCAATAACAAAAAGAATAAATGTATCAGAACAATTGTATAACAAACTTAATAATTTCAAATACTGTTGAAGCTTAAAAGCAATTTTAAAATCGAAATGTATGTATATACCTTTGTAGGAACACAAGGTCTAAGAAATTTTATGCCTTCCCCTTGCATGTAGTTGCCAATTCTTTCAGCCATGTCTTGATCAAAGCCTCGAAGCAAGATAGAACGGACCATAACAGTGACATCTAACCCAATGCCTGCTATAAATCCAGCACATTCCAACGCAACATATGAAGCTCCAATAACTAAAGTTTTTCCAGGACTTTTCTCCAAAGAGAAAAGATCATCACTAACAAAGAAATAAAATAATAGCAATAAACATTTCATATAAGTATGTTAATATCATAATGAGCATAATAGCTAATAGACAAACAAAAATGGAAAGGAAAAAAAATTCTATAATTTGGCGTACTAACTAGAACACTATTGCAACAGTGTATTTTTAGATATTAAAATATTCAAAATAATTTGAAGAAATGTATTGACAAACAAATTAAAGGTTTAAAAATTAAATTAGACAAAAGAAAAGTGCCACATAATCAAGATTGCCTAGTTTTCTGTCATAAATTTTATTTTCTAAAATGTTTGCATTTTTTATTTTTATTTTAAGCATGGAAAAATTTCTATTCAACATATAAGTATATTTTCATATTAAAAATTATATAGGTTGGCTTCATTGTGATGAAGTTAAAATTTAATACACAATATAATGAGAAAATCTCTTTTTTTTTAAACAATGTGCATTCAAGCAAATGTAAAACATGCAATTAAAAGTTTGCCTAGAATGTCTACATTAATTTTGAATTGACTTTTGAATACAATAAGGAAATTACTTGAATAAGCTAAACTGACACTATTATAATTATAGTTGATCTAATGACAAATATATACCTTGTGATGCCATATTCCTTGGCACCTTCAATGTCTGGATACCTTGGTCTCTCTCCAGTGGCAATAATAAAATTCTTGGAAGACATATGAGTCTCCTTTCCTTTCTTGTCAATAGCCTAACAACAAAAAAAAGAATAAATTTTTTTCAAAAAATAATAATCAACAGATAATGACTAATAATTTAAATAAAATGCAAGTGCCTATGAGACATTAAAAAAAAAACATTATTAAAACAAAAAATAACGTATCATTTCCAACGAGCATGCATTATAGATAATGTAATACAGTAGGGAACCGATTATCCAGAATGATCGGGACCATCACTATTCCGGATAACTGATTTTTCCGGTTTTCTGAATCGCTACAAAATGCCTTTTTTTAATTGTTAAATCCAACTGAAAAAAAAATTTTGGAAATAATCTTAAAAAGAAGAAAAAACGATGAAGTAATACACTAAAGATTATTTTCAAAATGATGCTAAGGTAAACATCTTTCCAAAAAGAAAGAAAAATCCTAAAATCTTATGAGGAAAAAAAATTTTTTCTTAAAAATGGCAGGAAAATTTATCGAATTTCGTTCCGGTTTTTTGGTTTTCCGATTTCTGGATAACGGGTTCTGTACTGTATAATCAATAATGCATGCATATTTTTAATAATGCAATATTGCACTGCATAGTTCTTCTTTTGCATGTTTAATATGAGGATATAGTTTGAATTAAAATTGCTTGCTTTGGATCATTTAGAAAACTCCACAGCCTTAGTATGTTAGAAAGTGAGTGAAAATTTGTTACAATTTCAGCTAAACAAATAGTATCTATGAAAAAAAATTAAAACAAGAAGTTTTCAAGCAAAGTTATGTATGCATTGATTACTTAAACAAGTAAGGTTAAAAATAAGGATTGCCATTTATGCAATATTTCTGCAGACTTTTTCAATTTTAAAAACAAAACAGATATATCCCATCTCTTTGTTTTATTATGTTTTTCTAACATGTTACCCTTTCCCTGTTGCTTAAACAAGTTTATCCATGTTTGTAACTTTTATTATGCACCTCTTTGTTTCCCTTTTTATTCTGCATTTTAATACTGAGGATGATTCTTAGTTGTTGAACCATAACTGCAGATATTTGTTTTTACAACTAGTGTTCATGCATATTGTAGCTTTATTTTCATATACTACACAAAACACTCACTTTTTCTTTTTTGGATGTCATATGTGTCATTATTTTGTACGTGACATGGATAAAGTTTATTTACCTTAATTTTGTGATCCTCAACAAAGACTCCTGAGGCATTCAAGTACTTTACTTGTTCAGTTCTTAATTGCACTTTATAATTCCAGTTAAGGGATCCAATATGATTCTGCACATTTTCTCGCATAGTTGCCCAAACATGTTCCACTGAAAGACACATTATAATCATCACATTTAAGAGTTTCCAATACAATTTTAGAAGAGACGATTGTAATTCACACAAAAAAAAGATCCAACATAAATTACGAAAATAAAAATGGGAAAAAAAAAGCATTTATATTATTTTACAGTCACCAGTTTAAATCATATAATTAAATTGTTGATTGACTTTACTTGTTCGCGAAGTTAAAAACAATTTTTTTTAATAAACAAATCATTGCAAGAATATACAAGGCAAAAATATTATGTGAACAAATTCACACAAAGAGCAGTAAAGAAATATAAATTAGGATGACACGCACATTTTTTAAGCAGCAGGAAGAAAAAAAAAAAGGCAACAGTAACAAAGAGCTAGAAAACTGTGGAAAAACTTTTGATGCCAATTGACATAAATGCCTATAAAGAATTACTTTTTTTTTAATTATTGAACAGGGTGCGCAACCAAATTATTCAATAAAAAATAAGCACCTCTTAAGCACTCAAAAAATATATTTAAGCACTTCAAAAAACTATCATAATTAGGCAGGATTGGATAGTTTTTGACAATTGACGGTTTTATCTTGTTTTAACTGTCATGTCAAAAAAAAAAAAAAAAACCTTTTGGCATTGTTTGTGACAATAGTAAAAAATCATGCAATTTTGAATAATGTAAAATACACTACGGACTATATTCATACACTACGGACTGAAAATATGCCAAAATAGATCGGGGTTGAATTGATTGTCAAAACGTTGAATAGAACAATGCATCTTTTTGCATAATTCATAGCGAAAATCAACATGGTTAAGGAAAAATCTCATTTTGAAAAAGGGAAAATTAAGCACTTTTTAAAAACACCCAATGAAAAAAGCACTCTTAAGGGCTTTTAAAAAACGAAAATCAAAAATAAGTACCTTTTAAAAATGCTATGCACTCTGTTGAAGGAATGTATTTTTGAACATTGATAAAATAGTTAAGTAATTTTCCAAATATTAACACATTAAGGAGAGAAGAAAAAAACTAAATCAGTATAAATATTTTTAGTATAAACGGAACTAAAATTAGACACCAGAAATTTCTTTCAAGATTTTGACAATTTTTTTTCAAAAACTTCTGGACATTTGAAACACTAAGATTTTATCCTGATTTTCGGTTATTTTGAATAAAATTCTCTGATATATCCTTTATTTTTCTAGATTGATAAAACTCTTTCCTGCAGGCACACTGATCTAATTATTTTCTGTAAAATCTTGTATTAATATAAGTAATGATTTTAAATTAAACACATTGTCTAACAGTTTATACCTTTATCACCATAATTCCATCCAAAATGCTTTGCATCCTTAAGAGATTGGCCTGAAAAATATAAAAGCTAGTGTTGCAATGAAAATTAATAATACCAAGTACAAGATTGTATTTAAAAAAATGATTTAAAAAAGTTTATTTAATGTATAAAAACATTAAAGTCATCCTCACCTAACAAAGCAGCTTGATGCATTAATTTTTTTGGAATGCATCCCACATTAACACAGGTTCCTCCAAGACCTGTAACAAAAAGAATCAATATAACACATTAACGAAAAACCAAAGTTTTGAAACCAACCAACAAACGAAAAAAAAAAATAATATAATTTTGATTAAAAAAAAATAACTGAAGCTTTACCCACCCCAAGTTGTTCCAATTGGTGTTGGCTTAACAAAGTCTAAAACAGCAACTTTTTTACCTAATTTGGCAGCTTCCTAAAAAACAAACAATTTTTAATTTAAAATAACATATGTTAAATACATTTAAAACAATATGTTAAACATTATAAATTTTAGAACACTATTCAAAAATTATCTTCATCAAATTCAGATTAAATTATTCTCAATATACATATATAATTGCCTGTTGTTATGCAGCCAAATTTTTTCTTCCGAGAGAATCTGATTTGAAGATACTTCGAGCATCTCAGAAATTATTGAACATTGCAAAATCTAAAGTCGGTAATGATCATTGCTTAAAAATTTCAATAAGCATTTTCACCTCTGCTTCGCTGCTAAAGTTCGCCATTTTGAAACCAATTAATATTAGTAACCAATTAATTTATTAATAAGAGGCTACTCTTATTATTATTTGTTATATTTTGTTAATTAATTTTAAAGTTATATTAAAAATTATTTGTCCAGTTCCTTTACAGCAACCTGCCCATTGAAGTAAAATAATTTGTTTTCTAATTTAATATCTTTCTAAATATTTGATTCTTTTAATTTAATACTTATGAATAACAAAAAAAATGTAAATGATTTCAAATTTTGAAATTTAAATTTTTTTTCTGGCAGAAAATATTCAGCAAGTTTCTTTTACTTTAACACAGCATTATACCCATAGTTCAAAATAAAACATCAGTATAAAGCTTTACTTGAAGCAAAAATAAAATTCAGTGGAATAAAAAAATAAACAAGAAAGAAAGGGGTCTAATAGTTTGTTGTTCCATTATTTAAAGATACAGGAGTCAGTTGTTATTCTAAATGAATTTCAAAATTAAACACAGCTACCAAAACAAATTATATAAATGTAAAGCATTGAATCATCAGCAAATTATGATCAAATAAAGCATATTTATCATTTAGCATTCTTTTTATCTTGGTTATCTTTCAGATTATTTATTTTTAATCTTTAATATAATAAGTTTTTCTTTTGGAGGTTTACTATCACTCAGAAGGTGAACTTGGATAATTTTTTAGACATATTTTTCTTATGATAAATATTTAACAATTATTTCTTTAAATCAGATAATCTAAAAGTTTTAAATTTGATGCAACAATAAATGAGGAAGATAATATATTTAATAAGTAGCAAGTCCTAAACAATCAATTATAATTAAAATCAAAAGTGATCATTGAAATAAAGTAGAATAAGGTATACTTTAGATGCAGCTAGTCCTCCGGATCCTCCCCCGATTACAATTAAGTCGTAATCATATTTCTCGTCAGTGATGTCCTTGGCTAAACACTGCTCGAGTTTTCCGCTGCTGTGAGCTGCCATAGTATCATCACATCCCCCTATGTGCTCTCGCTTTATAAATACTTGAGGAACAGAACTCCGGCCTGTTCTCAAGGCCATAGCTTGCTGCATTTGGGATCCATGCTCTGCAAATAAAATAAATATAATGCAGGGTTCAAATATGAAAGTAGCCAAAACAAATAAAAATCTTTTAAAATAAAATTTATAAACAATTTGAAAAATAACAAAATAAATGCTGCTTGAGTAATCTAAAGAAATCTTAACAAAAAAAAATTTATGCTTATTTCAAGCTAATTGAAATAATTACAGAAAAGCTTAGCAGAATAGAAAAATAAACACTTTCACATTTTGAAACATTTGCTTCAATATTTTTTCCCCCCTTCATATCTTTAAAATGGGGTGCATTGAGGTTCAATGCAAATTCGAAACATTCTCTTTTGCCATATATTTATGGAGTCAGAGATCAGTGTAAGTGCAAAACATTTTTTTTAAAAAGCCTTATCTTTAAATAAGATGGTTTCAATGGGAAACGATGCTTTGAGAGTTACATTTGGAAATTTTGATACATTTAAATGCTTTCATTGAATTTATTACAATCGTACTTAGCATGTTCTTCAATTAGGAAATAATTTCCGTTTAATTAGCATCATAAAATAAGATAGAGTTTTTTTTCTTTCAAACGATGAACTGTAAAACTAAAATAATAAAAAATATTTAACATTTTAAAATATTTTTAAATTAAATTAAACTTTTTTTTTAAATAGCACTTGCAGCATTATGCCCAGTATTATTAATTAAAAAAATTTTAAAAGACCTAAAAACCCCAAGTAAATACTTTAAAAAACTGGATTATGCATACATATAGATAAAAAAATTTTTTTAAATTCAATGAATGTTTTAGATCTTAAGATAAAAAATTGTGAATAATTACACAATTTTAAGTGGCAACACCAGAAGTGAAAGGGAAAACTGCATTATAGCTTTTTGTAAAATAGTATAATTTACAAAACTCAAAGTATAAAAAAATCATAATTAGCACTATACTAACAATAAACTTTTTAGGAATATATTATAACTAATGAAAATAATATCTATAATTAACAACCTATTACATCAATGTTACAACAGGGTAATCTAAAGAATTCCATTGCTATTTGATTTTTTGGTGAAAAAGCAAAAATAAAAGTATAATGAAAAAGCTGCTATATAATGAATTTTATATAAAGGAAGAAGTCTTTATGAAATAAAGTAGCCACCAAGAAATGAATTATTGATTTTTCTCTTTTCTTTCATGCTCTTGTCACCTAGGGTAACAACCTTGTTATAAAAGAGAGACAAAATCAATAATATCCTATAAACCTACATAAAATGGATGGATTAAACAAACAAAATTAATTAAGTCTACCAAAGTCTATTGGTTCAATTGATTTTTTTTTTTTAATTGAAGGTTGAAAAAAAATTATAAAAAATTTGTTTGAGAAAAAATTCTATAACAATTTTATGTAATAATAATCATGGTAGTTATTTTCTTAGCAGGTTTATTAAGCTATGCAATAAGTTCCAAAACTTTATGCCACAGCACCATGAAAGGCTGTGAAATTAAATCCATTTTACCAATACTTTTCAAAATTGTTATTATTTTTAAAAATAGAAACACCCATTTCAAAACCTATGGGTGTTCCCAATATTAAACAGATTTTACATATGGATTAATTGTATTTTTATAAGTTGCTATTAATAAGAATAAGTACTGTTTGAAAAATAATTGTCAAAGGCAAAATGTGATGGATTGCGTCAAACCAAATCCTAAAGTTTGATTCATTGTGCCGTAAAGCATAGCAGATTCACTAGTCATACTAACATATCTCACACACACCTGTCCAAGAGTTTAATGGAGGTAAATTTATTTTCTTTGTAAAGGCTCACAAACTTTTTCCTTCTAATTACAATTATAATAATTTAATGGTTTTTAAGTATATTTGGCATATTTAAAGGAAGAAATTGCTAATGGTTTTGATTTCCATTAAAAGGAACCCATTCCTTCCAGAGCACTGGGAGAAAGCGGGAAAAACCCAAAGAAAATGGTGATAAACTAAATTGACTAATAAAATTGTCCTATAAAATAGCATAATTATAATTAATAAATGAAATTTAAAAAAAAAAAGAATTAATAAATAAAATTTAATAGTATATAATTTTTTTCTTCCAAAAATATTTATTTTCACATTGTTAATTTTAGTTTTTATACAGAATTTTAAAATCTATATAGCCTATAGTAATAATAATTCATTTTAAATATTGATTTATGCTATCCCTATAAACTAAATGATATAAAACAAATTGACAAGTTTTTCTCCTTACATGGAAAATTTTTGTAATTAAATTATTTTTTAAAAATAAAAAATTTATTAGCAATTTTCTTTTCTCTCCTAAACCAAACCAAAAGTTTTCACACTTCTACTAATTTTCAATAGAAACTCATTTGCACTATGGGATATATTCTGTCCCCGTGGAAAAATCATACTTCTTAACATATGAAAATAAACAAATTAAACTTTTCGAATATAAAATTTTAGGTTGAAATGAAAGTGAAAACAAGAAAAAATTATAAATAATAAGAAAGAACTATTTTTTTAAGAAAATTGATTGTAAAATTATATATTTTTCGAAGCTGACAAGAAACATTTGTGAATATATTTTCTATTCAGCATTATTAAAATAAAAATACAAAAATGATATGTATCAATCTTAATTCAATTCAACACGAATGAAGATTAACAATAGTTTAAAAAATATTATTTCAGATGTGATTGCTGGAAGAAGAAACTTTTTGAAACTTATGGTTAGATATTTTCACTCTTAAAAGATAAGTTTTTTTTCACAATGTAATTAACAAAAAAAGAACTTTCTTGTACATAGATTATTTCTTTTCAATTAAATGAAAAATATTAAATAATAGATAATGATTCTTTATTATAATGATTCTCAGATAATGATTTCTGATTACACAAAAGTAACAGTTACAAACTTTAGAAGAATTCAAAAATATAGAGCTTTGTCAGAAAAAGAGTTCAAAGCCAACAAATCTGCGTAAAAAAACAATTTATGTCTTACAGGAACAAAATTCTGGAAGAAAAAAAAAAGGCTTGCAACTAGGGAAGGAATAATTTTCATGTTATGGCAGTTTATTAATTATTAAACTTACTATAGAATAACAGAAATCTGAGAAAATTTTGCTGAAATTTAAATTTTTGATTCACCGAAACCCATGTGTCAACAATCTTGCAATTCCCAAAATTCTGCTAAATAGTAAAATAATAATAATAATAATCACCTGCAAAAATTTAAAAAAAAAAATTCTTTTTTACATTTGTGCTCACTTATGTTAAACGCTGATAAGTCAACTTACTTAAAATATTTAAAGTCAAACTGCATACTATTGCAAGAATTTTTTTTCTTGTGAACTTTATCATTTCTAGTATCATAAGAATCCTCATTTACACTATAAAATCAAAAAAGCCAATGTTTAAAACATTAAAAAAAATTATTCAATTAAGTTAATATTTAATTTTTTCAAACTTTTCCTGACATAATTTACTGGTTAGCTAAGAACTTCGTTAATCAAAGGATAAACGTTGTAAAAAAATGATAATTGTTAATACATTTTAAATGACAAATTGTACTTTTATTTCAAAAAGTAAATGAAGTTGTTTTTTAATAGAAATTTATTTTTTATAATAATAAATGTCAAAAAATATTTATCCTTTTGTTATAAAATTAATTTGCTGTGAAAACTAAAGTAATCTTGAAATAATTATTCAAAACTTGTTGTAATGAAGAAATATAATATTTTAACAACTTAAAAATTATTAATTTGGAAAAAAAAGGTAATTTTCAAAAAAATAATATGTACATACTTTCACCTTTTGCTGAAATATACAATATAATAATATAAAATGAATAACAATACAACATATAATGACTAGTATGTAGGGCAATTTTCGATGCATATTTACAAGAGGACTATAAAGCTTTACAGTAAATTGCATTATTTGGTACCTTAATGTATTATAGAATTAAATTCAATGTCTCAAACAATTATACATTTATAGATAAAAAAAAATAAAAAATAAAAAAAAAACAGCTTGAAAACCACAATATTTAGATGAGCTTCATTAATATAATATTTTATTTATTACAGAGACCCGCAGCAGAAAAATTTTGAATGCTTTAGTTTCTCTGTGAAATAATAAAGCTTAAGCTTCTCAACAATTATACCACACATTTATGAGAGCTTTTGAGTGTCAGATTTTAATTTGAAATCTTCCTTCTTGAAAGAAACATTAAAAAAAATATAGTATTAGCTTACACAGAATATAAATTTAATTTAATACAGAGTTGAATTATTAGTTAATCCTTAAAAAATTGAATTTAGCAATTGCTGTTAAATCATGTAATGTATTTTAATGAGGAGAATAATCTTTCTAGAGCAACTTGACTAACGAACAATGCATCAAGAGTCTCGAATGCAGGATATAATGAAATTGCTGGAGCCCTAGAGATTGAGAAAATTTAGAACTCCAGCTCCAAGAAAAACAAAACTCTGAAAAACCAGCATAGTTATTATGTATTAAAAGTTTTAAATGTAAGATGTTATGAGACAATTTTTGAGAGTGCTGCATCACATGACCAGTTGTTAAACTAATTATGATCCTCTTCAAAGGAAAACTATACTTACTAAAATATTAGATCTGTTCTCCTAATAAGAATGACATATTTCTTTTTTGGCTGTATTAATTACGTCTAATACAAANTCCAGGGTTTAACACTAAAAAAACGGCTTTTTGTAGCGATTCAGAAAACCGGAAAAATCAGTTATCCGGAATAGCGATAGTCCCGATCGTTCCGGATAATCGGTTCTCTACTGTACAAACTTTTTGTTAAAACAGTCCATCACATAAAAAAAAAATTTTTTGGAGGTACCTAAAAAAACTTACTGAAAAAGTTTCATATAGTATTATTAGTTAAATAAATTATATTAAAAAGAACATTTAAAAAAAAAAAAAAAAAAGACTAAAAAATTTACGTAGTAATGTAGCAACAACAGCTCTTTGCTAAAAATTTTAGTGAATTTTTAATACAGTTTTAGAGCCTGAAAAATTTTCTACAACATTTTTTTAATATATTATATAGTATAATGCAAAAAAAGGCGATAAAACTTAATAATGTTGTTGCCATAACTTTCTGTTTGAAAGTGTAAAGTATCACAGCAAAGTTTCTAGGTTTGAGAAATCATTCAAGGAAAAAGCTCACAAGCAAAAAATAATGTAATACAAACTATAACTTTTAATAACATTGTTGCAATACTTCTTTATTTAAAGTGTTGAATACTATAAAGCTTTTGCAAAACTAAATTATCATTATGCAACTCAAACTGAACCAGAACGAGTAAGAAATATCCGATTAAAATACAACTAAACTCAAAAATATAAATTACATACAATTTTACTTATGTTATAAAAAATAAAAGATTGATTTTTAGCGTCTATTGAAAAAGAAAATTGACCTTATCAACAGTAAAAAACTGTTTAAAAAAAGGATTTTAATTAATTTATAAAAAAATCAAAATATAATGTTAATTTTCATTTTCATAATTTTATAGACCAGTTAAAATTTATAAAAACAAACAAATTGTACATAAAAAGAAGTTTTTTATGTATAATAATGTTAACCACAAAAATATTTGTTTCTTTTAAAAAATAGTTCAAATGAATTACCTAAAGTGTCCAACTCCAAGGCAAAGTATTTAACTCCTAAAGAATTGAACAATTGCTTAATCTGTAATGTAAATAAAACATAATATAGCAGCAAAAACGCAAGCGGAGCAGAACACTAGTAAAACACTAGTATTTGAGTTGAGTAAAAGTAAAAACATTGTTTTAGATATCAAATAAAAACTATAACTAAAAACATAAAATAACTTCAGGTGCTTTAAAATCTTTAGTTGCTTTAATGAGAAGCTGCAGAAGTAGAATACCACCCTTCCAAGCATAATTTATTTGAAAGCCAAATTTAAACTATTGAGATTATAAACTAGAAAACCTTTTCCTAAACTAAGAATCCAGATAATCAATTAAAAATTTGATTATTCAACTCAAGGTAACCAATATTCATAACAAAAATAATTAACAATTTTGATACAATATAAAGGAAAAAAATTACAATAGATGATAAAAAGCAAAATGTTTAAACAATAGAATAGTTCTGGCTTTCTTTTTTCATTTTATTTGATGGCTGAATTCAGACTTCAAATGGGACAAAACTTAGTCCAAGAGGATTCTTTTGTGGCCAATTGCTCCTTGTTTTTAAAAATAATTAAGAGCATGCTAAAACGCAATCTCTTTGCACTTTTTTTTTCCTTCATAATAAGTCAACTAACCAAAAATGATTAACTGATCTTGAAAGCTTTTTTTCTAATTTAAATTGAAAATTAAAAGAAAATAAACATTTAGATGACAATTTAAAAAAAAGAAAAAAAGAAAGAAGATATTTATTTAAAAAATAGTTTCTAAATCACCTATAAAATTAATATCTTCCCCCCTCCCAGAAAAGTAACTTATAAAATTTTAACCAGTTGAGAATAATCCCAACAAAGTAAATATTTGTATTAGTAATCAGAATTAAATCTATAAATATTACCAGTATGTCATTATTATTTATGCAATGAATAATTTTTTTTTCAAAATGGAATATGAATAAAAAGAATGTTTTTAAGGGTTGGAAGCTTATTTTTATAAAAAGGGACCATTTATTTGGATGAAAGTAAAAGCAGGCTAGGCTGACCTTACAATACACTAGGGAAAAATACTGACTAATGCATTATTTGAAGTATACCAATTTATGTATTCAGTAATAATTTCCAAGATAGTAATGTACAACCAAAATAAAAACTTTATTTAAAGAAATTCCTCTATAATTCATTAACATCAGAGCTATTGAAAATGCACCAAATAGTTAATGTAAGGAATAGTTAATGTTAAGAAATTTCATAACTACCTCACTGGTTTTATGTGAAAAAGTAGGCTCATATCATTAAAGTTTGAATTTAAATGTATAGGGAGCTTGACAATTTATAGTGTAGCAAATAAATAACTTCTACATAAAGTTTTCACTGCGTAGAACTTATCTAAATTTTAAGTAGGACACAAGTTTTAATTGCCCAAAAATTATTTTTAGAGTAATTATAAGAGCATGAAAATGAAGACAAAACAAACACATAATAACATTGAAATATAGATAAAAAGCAGTTTATTATAGTAATTGAAATTATGAAGACATATAAATAACAATACCTTTTGACAGTACTGGCAATAAGTTTTACTAAACATCATAACATCGTTATTGTTTATGTAGTTATCAATGTCCGGCAATAATTGTTTTGGATCATTAATAGGAGCCATTTTTCAATAATTTATTTCGAAATAACATAGGATTGTAAAACGAAACGAAGCTTTACTTTCAAATGAGATTGCTCTTCTTATTTCAATAAAGAGGCTAACTTAACAGAAGAGATTTCACCATTGAAAGTAGGCGCACTCCACGATATTACGTAAACATGTATATCTGAATGAGTACAGTTAAAGTGACGTAACGGTGAAAATAAAATATATCTAAGAAAGTAGAACCAAGGTTAAGTCGTTCGTAAATAGTTGAAAAACTCTATTTACTTACAAAGGAACGGATTCAACTCAAAAGTTGAAAAGATTTGATGTACTCAGCAATTCGATGTAAAATCCAAAACCACAAAGAAAAAATCAACTATCTGCATTTATATCATCCTGACCCGGAAGTACGTCTGTCTATATTTAAAACGTCATGATTTACCTCCATGAACGACAGGTAAAAGCAGAATTTCTCACAAAAAAAATATATAAAGAATGAAATAATTTAAATAAGTTATGGGAGAAAAAGAAAATTTTATTTTTTGGTGTAACATATTCAAGTGAATTTACCTCATTTAAACAATATAATGAAATCCATATCAAATCAATATTTTTCTTAATTATTTCCCAGTTTTAGTGGAACTTTTTTTCTCAGCATTCAAACATTATTTATTAAGGGGATAAAAAATCAAATAACGTAGAGATTTATGTTTGCAAATGGAATATACTAATATACCGTCAATTAGGCTAAAATAATATTCTTTAACAAAATTTTTTTCTAGAATGTCGAAAGGATAAATTCAAAATGAAAGTAGAGTAGGTTTTGATTCTGAAACTAATTAATTTTTGTTGAATGAAAAATTAAATATTACTGATTTTTTCTAAGTACGAACTGAAACAGAAAAAAATTAACTTTCTAAACATCAAAAATTGTCCCTCCGACTTGATCCGTGTCAGATATAAATTTACTTATTAAATTGAATTACTCAATGTAATGTTCTACTGAACATGAGCTGTACATAAATCGGACGTATTTTATTTGATTTACAAGAATTCCCCCCTCATTTTTAAACTTTTTTTTTGTTGTAATTTAAAGTCCAGGTGAGCAATAATATTTCTTCTATAAATTTGTAATATTTCGCTGAGATATTCTTACATTCAATTTCCTTATTGCTTAGAGCAGTGTTTCCCAAAGTGTGGTACGCGTACCCCCAGGGGTACGGGAACAGTTTAGCGGGGGTACTCATTCTTATGCGAAATATCTTACAACAAACTAAAATTTCAAAAAATTTTACATAAAAACATGGCTAGCCATGAAAATTTACGATTACGTATTTTTCTATTGACTATTTTGCAGAGTTAACAGTTAATAATTAGTGTTGTCAGGAGCCCGTTGTGATTTTTAATTTTTGTGCAATTTTTTTATAATAAAAAATACATTCAATTTCTTATTAGTGGTACACAGCATAACGAAAAATTTAGAAAGGGTACACGAAAGTCGTAAGTTTGGAAAACACTGGCTTAGAACAATAAAAGTTAACTTCAAATTTAAAATGAATTACCCCTCAAATATTTTATACTCTCACACGAATGCAAAATCCACATTTTTTGCGTGCTTTACATACTTACCTTCTTGTTTTAGGTTCCTCATATGAGTTATACGCAGTTTATAGCAGGATTTAATTTTATTATTTTCAGCAGTATCATTTCGAGGGAGAAAGCGAATAAAATAACGAAAAGTAAAAGTGAATAAAAATAAATTTGACTTTTTAAAAAAGCAAAAATTATAAAAATGTATTTTAACGTTTCTTTTTTCTAACAATGAATAATTGAATGCAAAATAAGCACTGACTAGAAATATAAATATAAATAACGAAATTTTTGAACCACTTTTCATTTGGTTTAATAACTGTTAATTCTAATGTTTGTTTTTTAAGGACCGTGAGAACCTTGCTTGAAAGAAAAATTCTTATTCTCAACGAAATAAAGACGTGAAAAGTGAAATTCAAATTACAATTGGCGATAGCAACGCTCGAATTCGCCATCTGGGGAGAGACCAGTTTCATGCCTTTGGCTCTTCTCACTTCCCTCTCCCCCTCTTTTTAGTTGCATAGGAATGTACTACGATATTTTCCCCTTTCTTTATATTTTTCCTTTTTATTTAATAAAAATATTTTTTAAAATTTCCGTGATACTTTTCTTTAGAATTATGTTTAATGTAGTTTTCAGTTCCATACAGTTTTCCGACTTAAAAGATTTTAATCTATATGAAAATCGAAAGAGAAACTAACGTACTTCCTTCCTCTATGACTCTCCACACGCTAGTGGGGAAAGCATGTAAAGTGTTGCCGTAGGTAGAGAGCTCTGTTCAGGGGCGGATCCAGAAATTTTTCCTGGGGGGGGGGATTATAGACTAAGATCGCCCCCAATTAATTTTTTTTTCCTAAAATTTATTTTTTAAATATTTAAAAAAAAAAGTACTGGGGGTTTTAATGCTAGTCTTCTCATTTATTTTTTTCATAATGAGCAATAGAACAATACATAAATAATTCAAGTATTCAAAATCTTTAAATAATAAATGTAATGCGTTTCTTTAGAAACTTTGGCAAATACAATCTTAGGTTAAGCATGTGTTGAAGCGCGCTTCAACATTATTAATGTTTACAATGAAACCATGATGAATTTCGTTTTAATCTTTTGGATTATGATTCTTGAAACAGTGAAGAACATAATTAGATGGGGGGAAAAAATCGATTTTTCCGAACTACCTAGGTGTATATGCCCCCTTAAATAATTTTTAAAATATTTCATTTCTTTTGTAAACTACTAAAAAATAATTTTTTTTTTTCAATTTTGGGGGGTCGTTACCCCTATGAACCCCCCCCCTCTGGATCCGCGAACCACTTGCAGCCCATTTCGATTAAAATGAGTAACTGTGAATTATTAACTTAATTAGGTTTGATCAAGGGATGGTTGATCGTGTGAAGCTAAACACAGATGGTGGTAGGGGTTAAAATTCGATGTAAGACATTTGGGTTACTGCTTCCGATTGAATTTTTCGCCTAAGCTTAAAAAAGCGTGCCATCCAATATTATTATACTTGTGTTTTCAACATAACGCGCTCTTTCAATTTAGCTTTCAACGAGACCAACAATTAATGAATTCGAAAACTCGGCAAGCTTGCTATGATTCTTCCCAAAAAATAACAAACATTACATAATATTTTACAGGAATGTACCTAAATAAGGAATAACACTCAAAATATAACAAACCTTTCTCTTTATTTATGTTGTGATATTAATATTCTCAAATTTGTTTTAGGCTCTCACGACCTGTTAGAATTTATAAAAAGGATACATCGGAAGTTTTCTAAATTTCTTCCGGTATTAGGAAGCTTGTTATTGTTTAGATTCAGTCAACTATTCATAAATGGATAGGCGGAAATTCAAATGGTACAAAAAGTTTAATTGAGATAACATTTAAACTTGATAATTTTGTTTAGTTACCATTGCAGTTTCATCCATAAATTTGTTCTTAATCAATGTCATTGTATAATTTTTGCTTACAAAAAAAGTTGAATATGTTTCGGATTATGAGCTCTTAGTATTGCTTTAGAAATCGAAATAGTTATTTTTTATTTACTATATTAATTTCAAACAGTAACTGAACATAGATTTTCATAAAATTTATTGTATAACACATAAAAAGACAAATATACCTTATTTACTGCTTAATTATTGTAAAAATGTAACTACGTATATAGTAACTTTATCATAAAGAGTTACATGTTTATAATATTTGTTTATTATNAAAAAAAAACTAAACTTGACTTCGGTGATCTGCTGGGAACCGTGTCTTAACGATCAGTCCACTGCGGGACAAATTCAAAATGAAAGTAGTAGGTTTTGATCCTGAAACTAATTATGTTTTGTTGAATGAAAAATTAAGTATTACTAATTTTTTCTAAGTACAAACTGAAACAGAAAAAAATTAACTTTCTAAACATCAAAAATTGTCCCTCCGAGTTGGTCCGTGTCAGATATAAATTTACTTATTGAATTGAATTACTCAATGTAATGTTCTACTGAACATGAGCTGTACATAAATCGGATGTATTTTATTTCATTTACAAGAATTACCCTCATGTTTTAAATTTTTTTTTGTAATTTGAAGTCTAGGTGAGCAATAATATTTCTCCTATAAATTTGTAATATTTCGTTGAGATATTCTTACATTCAATTTCTTTATTTTGAAGTTATAGAACTATAAAACTTAACTTTAAATTTAAAATACCTCTCAAATATTTTATACTCTCACATGAATGCAAAATCCACACTTTTTGCGTACTTTACATACCTCCCTTAGACGCAGTTTATATCAAGATTTAATTTTATTATCTTCAGGAGTATCATTTCGAGTGAGAAAGTGAATAAAATAAAGAAAAGTAAAATAAAATTAAAATAAATTTGACTTTTTAAAAAAGCAAAAATTTTAAAAGTGTATTTTAGCGTTTCTTTTTTCGAAAAAAAAAAAGAAAAGAATCATTGAATGCAAAATAAACACTGGCTAGACTGGCAAACACTGGCAGCAATTTTTGAACCACTTTTCATTTGGTTTAATAACTGTTAATTCTAATGTTTGTTTTTTAAGGACCACGAGAATCTTGCTTGAAAAAAAAAGTTATGGCATAACTTAACTATATTCCTATTCTCAACGAAATAAAGACGTGAAAAGTGAAATTCAAATTACAATTGGCGATCGCAACGCTCGAATACGCCATCTGTGGAGAGACCGGTTTTATGCCTTTGGCCCTTCTCCCTTCCCTTTCCTCCTCTTTTCAGTTGTATAGGAGTGTACTACGATATTTCCCCTTTTTATTTAATAAAAACATTTTTTTAAATTTCCGTGATACTTTTCTATAGAACTATGTTTAATGTTGTTTTCAGTTCCATATAGTTTTCCGACTTAAAAGATTTTAATCTATATAAAAATCGAAAAGAAACTAACGTACTTCCTTCCTCTATGACTCTCCACACGCTAATGGGGAGAGCATGCAAATGCAAAGTATTGCCATGGTAGAGAGTTCTGCTCTACGCCCATTTCGCAATTGCAGCCCATTTCGATTAAAATGAATTACTGTGATTTATTTACTTAATTAGGTTTGATCAAAGGATGGTTGATTGTGTAAAACACAGATGGCGCTAGGGGTTAAAATTCGTTCTAAGACATCCGGGTTACT